CAGTATTCCAGCCAGCGAATAGAATTTGCCAATCAAGAGATGAAAGTTCATTGTTTATGAGATCGTAGTTGGCTTTTTTAAAGTTATAATTAGGAATCCCATCATTATGATGATTTTTGTGAGGGCATAAGTTGAGACTAAAGTTAATCATGCTATTGTCGCTGTTGGAGAATAGTTCTTTTATTTGTAGTCCATAAATTGAGTTTAAACTGTTGCAGAAGATGAGATCAAGGCAGTTGTTGAGTCTAGTGTTGTTAGTTACTAGTTGATCAAGTCCCAGATTAGTTACAGTATTGTACAGGGTTGCATGTATAGGTTCAGTTGTACATTCATTTAGGGTCCAATTAATAAGTGGTAAATTAAGGTCACCAAGAAAGATTATTGGGTGTGGGCAGGAGGCTGCCCATGTTAGTAGTGAAGTTAACTTATTCGCATGATCGTGTCAGACTCTCCGCTGCGGTTTGGCAGTTGAAGGAAAAGAAAATGCTACCAGCAGCTTCGGAATGCTTCAACGTTTATTCCCTCGAACAGCCCCGTCATCGGCAAGTGAACACAGGCGAAACACACGCAAAGTCGGCGTTGGGAGCAGCTGCCTCCCAACGCCTTTTAAATCTTTGCGCCTGCCCGCCAACACCCTTCCGGGTACAGTCTCCTCAGCGCGTGCGTAGGAAGGTCCCTCTTGCGACGCGGCGCTGCGATGGACGGGCGGGGCGTCGAGAGCCTGGATAGCCTATCCCCGGCTGCTGGGTGACCGCCCGCCTAATGGAACAGAACAAACACCCCCCTCCACCGTGTGAGCTTCGGATCCGAACCGCCACCTCCCCCCATCTTCTCGGTGATGTAAGCTGAGCGCCAGGAGTCTCGGTCGGGAGGGATCAATGTCGCCGCTATAGCTGGCGGTGTCGAGAGGATCTCGACAGATCGATGTTGTAATCTGGGGCTCTGTAACATAGTAAGAATCAAAATGTGGTATTTAAGGACAGGTTGCAGACGATGGTCTCATGAAGAGCAAGCTCCTGTGTAACTTAAATATTTTTTAGATGTAGGGACTTTTTGTAGAAGATAGCAACATCACCTCCTCTACGGATTTCACGATCAGACCGGTAAACATGATAGTCTCTTACTGTGGTAATGGAGTCAGGGAGGGATGTATTCAGCCAAGTTTCACAGACAAATATAAGGTCAAATATAGCCATATTTAGTAAGAGGAGGAATTCAGGTATTTTATTTACAAGGCTTCTTGCATTAAGTAGCTTGCATTTAAGGTCAGTAATAGTTGTTATAGAGGAAGTTAGGGGCATGCGTGCCTAGTTTTGGATGATGGGGGCTGGATGGAGGAGGATTGAGTGTTAGGATGTAGGTTGTGGGACTTCCTTTTGGTACAGTTGGCACGGTAGTCGATGTATAAGTCAGTATGTCCTTGTTCTTGACGTCTTTTAAGTTCTGATCGGAGTTCACGGGAGAGGATTCTTTGCAATATGGATAAGTCAGGATGTGAAAGGAGTTTGTTATGGCTGATGTTGGTTTTGGCGATGGAATTTATTGTATGGCCCTCCTCTTGTTCCTCCACCCCTCTGTGCCCCCTGGCTTCCCTCACCCTCTGGGAGCCTCTTGGCCCTGTGTTCTCCCCACAGATGCTTTCTGGGTCTAATTGGGGGGTGGGGATGTGTCTGCAGGGCATGAGAATCCTGCTCATTGGTTTCCATTCTTAACAGTGTAATTAACTGGGCATTTAGACCAACTATCTAGTAGGAAGTCAGTGTTGATTTAATCAGTATTTTTGTCATGGCTTCTCTCAACCCAGGTCCGTAGTAAATAAAGCCCCCCTCATTTGTGATCTTATTCAGGAGAGGGGTGCGGACCTGGCAGGTATTACGGAGACCTGGTTGGGCCAGGAGGGGGGGTTCCCCTCATTGAAATGAGCCCACCAGGTTTCCACGCATTCCATCAGCCAAGGTCACAGGGGAGGGGCGGGGGGGTAGCGGTTATCATTAAAGATGGTCTGAGACCGAGGGAGGCCACTGTTCCTCAGACAGCCGGCTGTGAATCCCTCCTTGTGAAATGGGGTCACGGGGTCCAGAGCGGTTTGCTGATCACGTACCTGGCTCCCTGTGGCAGCAGCCCTGCCTGAGCTACTCAACGTCATCGCCTAGGCTTATGGTCATGGGGGATTTCAACCTGCCGTCCGTGGGTGAGGCGTCGGAGGTGGCTCAGGAGTTCATGGCTTCCATGACAGCCATGGACCTGACCCAGTTAATTCATGGCCCTACCCACACGGGGGGAAACACGCTGGATCTGGTTTTTGTCTCTGGACAGTGGTTGAATGATCTCGAGATAGGGGATATAGTCACCGAGCCCTTGTCATGGTCTGATCACTCTCTCCTTCGTCTCGACCTTCGAACCGCTACACCCCGCCACAGGGAGGCGGAGCCGGTAAGATGGTTCCGCCCCAGGCGCCTGATGGAACCTGACAGGTTCCAGATGGAGCTTGGGCCATTCCCTGAGGCTCTGGCACACGCCTCGACTGGAGACCTAGTGGCTGCCTGGGATAGGGCGGCCGCTGGAGCTCTGGATCGGGTCGTGCCTTTGCGGCCTCTGACCCAGCGCCGATCTCATTTAGCTCCTTGGTTCACTGAGGAGCTGAGGGAGTTGAAGCACCGGAAAAGATGCCTAGAGAGTAGTTGGAGGGCCAGTCTTTCTGAAACTGACCGGACACTGGTAAGATCTCATATTAGGAATTACCTAGTGGCGATAAAAGCAGCGAAATGTAGCTATTTTGCTGCTCTTATTGCGTCATCAGATAATTGCCCAGCCCCCTGTTTAGGGTGACCCGCTCCCTGCTCCACCAGGAAGCACGGGAGGACCCCTTGGAGGGTAGAGCCGAGGATTTTGTTCAATATCTGTAGGACAAAATCACTCAGATTCGGGAAGATCTGGACTCCGACTGGGTAGTCTCAGGGGGAGGGACTGGGGCAGGTCTTGAGAATGTTATCTGGGATGAGTTTGATTCTGTGACCCCTGAGGACGTGGACAGGATTCTGGGTAGACTGAACGCGACCACTTGTTTATTGGACCCGTGTCCCTCTTGGTTAGTGCTGGCTTCTCGGGAGGTGACACGAGGCTGGTTCCAGGGGATTATAAATGCTTCGTTGAGTGAGGGTGTCTTTCCTGCCGCCTTGAAAGAGGCGGTGGTGAGGCCTCTCCTCAAGAAGCCTTCCCTGGACCCGGCAATGTTGGTAAATTATCGTCCGGTCTGCAACCTTCGTTTTGTGGCGAAGGTTGTTGAGAGTGTGGTTGCGCAACAGCTCCCCCAGCACCTGGATGAAACGACGTATCTGGATCCGTTCCAGTCGGGCTTCAGGCCCAGGTACAGCACGGAAACGGCATTGGTCGCGTTGGTGGATGATCTCTGGAGGGCTCGGGACAGGGGGTGCTCTTCTGTCCTGGTCCTGTTAGATCTCTCAGCGGCTTTTGATACCATCGACTATGGTATCATGCTGCACCGGTTGGAAGAGTTAGGGGTGGGAGGCACTGTGTTGCGGTGGTTCTCCTCCTTTCTCTCTGACCGGTCACAGTCTGTGTTGACAGGGGGACAGAGGTCGACCCCGAGGCCCCTCATATGTGGGGTGCCGCAAGGGTCGGTCCTCTCGCCTCTCCTGTTCAACATTTATGTGAAGCCGCTGGGCGAGATCATCCGTGGTTTCGGGGTGGAGTACCATCAGTACGCTGACGACACCCAGCTGTACATCTCCACCCCGGATCACCCCAACGATGCCCTTGAAGTGATGTCCCGGTGCCTGGAGGCCGTACGGATCTGGATGGGGAGGAACAGGCTCAGGCTCAACCCATCCAAGACTGAGTGGCTGTGGTTTCCGACGTCCCGATATAGTCAGTTGACGCCATCACTGACTATTGGGGGCGAATCATTGGCCCCCACGGAGAGGGCTCGCAACTTGGGCGTCCTCCTAGATTCACGGCTGTCTTTAGAAGAGCACTTGACGGCCGTGACCGGGAGGATTTTTCATCAGGTTCGCCTGATTCGCCAGTTGCATCCCTTTCTGGATCGGGACTCGTTACGCACGGTCACTCATGCCCTCGTCACCTCCCATGTAACACCTCTCCTGCACGAGCTGCATTGGCTCCCGGTGGTCTTCCGGGTGCGCTTCAAGGTTTTGGTTACCACCTTTAAAGCGCTCCATGGCTTAGGACCTGGTTATCTACGGGACTGCCTACTACCACCAATAGCCTCCCACCGGCCAGTACGCTCTCATAGAGAGGGACTCCTCCGGGTGCCGTCAGCCAAACAGTGTCGACTGGCGGCCCCTAGGGGGAGAGCCTTCTCTGTGGGAGCACCTACCGTCTGGAATGAGCTCCCCCCGGAGATACGGAGGATCCTGGATCTGCGCACCTTCCGCCGCGCTGTGAAGACCTTTTTATTCCATCAGGCAGGCTTGGCCTAATCTCTTCCCTTTTTAAAATATGTAAATTTTAATCTGTTTTTAAATTATTGGGGTGTTTTAATCTGTCTGGGCCAAAATGATTTAATTTGATTTTATCTGGTTTTTAAATTTTTTGTATCTATGTATTTTATTGTTTGGCTGTTCACCGCCCTGAGTCCTTCGGGAGTAGGGCGGTATACAAATCAAATAAACTAAACTAAACTAACTAACTCACCCCTCTCCAGGGGGTCTGGCTTGTGTATCCCCAGCCCCACAAAGAAACCCCCCCTCAAAGCAGTGGCAACTCTTTCCCTGCAGATGGCGTCTGTTCCTAATCCTTCCAGTCAAAGTGATGGGTCAGGGTCCCAGGAACTCATCCCAGAGGGGCCACCCAGTCAGCGCCCTGTGGCTCCATCAAGGCTGCAAAGGTCCCCCTGGGGCGGGGTCCTCTTCTAGGATACTCAGGGACCTCCCCTGAAAGAAACACAGTTTAGGCATTTTGACTGATTGCTTCGACTTCCCTTCCCTTCACTCAGCATTGTCTTTTTCATTTTGTTTTAGAGCCCCGAACGATCAAATCGTTACTGGATTGGCCTAAAAAAATCAAGGAGCAACTTTTTCTGGGTTGATCAAACCCCTGACATCGGGATTTCCATGGGGTGAGTCGTGACCTCATAAAGAGTCCCTGGGAGGATCTGTGGCTGGACCAGATTTCCACAGGTTTTGAGATGTAACCCTATTGGGATGGCTGCCATTCCAGGGTTGCCCTGATGCCCGTCCCTCTTAGGGTCAGTTAGAGGCTTTGGCTTCTCACTTGCCCCTCCTGCTCGGGGCTGACCCAGAGGGGAGAGGGGAGGGCTGAGGCACTTGAGGGAGCTCAGGAGGACAGTGCTGGACTGAGGGTGGCAGAGCCAGCCCAGCCCTCCCAGCCTCTGATGGGAAGACGTGGGACACCCTGCAACTCTCTGGAAAGGGGGAACAAAACCTCTTTGGAGCCTTCTGAGGTTCTGCATATCTCTGTGGGGTATCCGAGCCCAGAAAACAAATAACTTCACATCTGGTGCTTGTTTCATTTGCTCTGTAGTCAGAATTATCTAAATGGGAGGGGCCAGAATGAAAAGATCATTGCCCCACTTCCCAAGTTCAATCTGTACCATTAATACAAACGCACGCACGCACACACACACACACACACACACACACACACAGAGCTTGTATGAAAAAACATGATTTCTATCACTCTGGAAACAATTACAAATCCATTTCTGAAACTTTGGGGCACCCCCATCCGGATTCCGAGGCACAGTCTTGAAATGGTTGTGGACAAAGTCCCTTTCCCCCAAGAGGAGCCTTCCTGTTCCCCAAAGTGCAGCATGAAATCACCCATCCCCCTGGCAAACTATGCACAGCAACCTTTCTTAAGGCCCCTCCTTGTTTGGGGACAGGATGCAATCCGGCCGTGGAGCCTCCTGTCTAACAAGGGAGCTGCCTTGGGGGGCACAGCAGCCCCCGGCCTCCGCCTGGCCTTCCCCACCTCCCACTGGTGCCCGGAGGCTTCCTGCAGCCTGGGCCAGGCAGGTCCCTGGCAAGGGTGGTATGGCTCTGCGGGAGGGGCAAGGGCAGCTTCTGCACCCCCAGAACTAAGGAGGAATTTCCTGACAGTCAGAACAATTACTCCATGGAACTGAAGTTGCCTCCAGACATTGTGGGTGCTCCATCCTTGGAGGTTTCTAAGAAGAAACTGGACAGCCATTTGTCTGAAATGATATAGGGTTTCCTGCTTGAGCAGAGGGTTGGACTAGAAGACCTCCAAGGTCCCCTCCAACTCCTTATGCTGTTATTCTGTTGAAACTCATGGCAGAGGGCAGAGGCCTGGAGCAGCCTTTTTTCCTTGCTTTCTTTCTCCAAACTGTAGGGGATCAAGTTATAAACAAGGCTGTGTGGAACTGCATGAGGGAGCTTTGAACGTTTGTCCCTGTTCTGAAGGGAAGAAATTTATCTGCGAGAAGCCTGCCAGGCCTTGGCCATGAAAGGCACAGGTGAGCACCCTCTCCCTTCCCCATTTGGCTTGCTGGGCTTACGAGGGGTGGATTTCCCTTTATTCCCCAATTCTCCCTTTAGTAGGGCGGGGACCGGGGGGGGGGCGGGTTTGTGTGGAGCTGCACAATGATGAGCATCCTTATTTTAATATATATAAAATTTATAATATATATAAATCAAATTAATAATAATAAATAATAATTAATAATAATAATAAATTTTGCAATGCTGTTGTGAGTCTGGTCCACTCCCAAACTGGAGGGCTCAGCTGGAGTGGCCCCTGGCCAGAGGTGGAGCTGACCGGCCAGCTGTCTGCCCCAAACTCCCCTGCCTGGCAGTGCTCAGAGGACACCAAAGGCCCAATTCATGACAGCTGATCTGGAACAGAGTTAGATCTCCATCAGAGGGCACGTTTGGAGGCTAGAGAAGCACAGCCAGCTCCCTGTTGGTGGGGGCCCCTCCCTGAAACCTGAAAGAGCCGGCCAGCATCTTTAGAAGGGGGACTGAGCTGCTGGGGGAGAGTCTTCTGGGCTACAAGGAGGCGGCCCCCGTGACCTGTTCTTGCTGAGCTCTGAAGACCAATGCCACGCCAGAGGAGCCCTGATGAGCCCAGCCTGGTTGGCACTTGGTTTCTCCCCCTGGCAGCTAAAATGGCCTCCGTGGAGCCAGGCTGCATCCAGCCGGTTCCTTGAATGTTTGGCTGCTGTGCGCAGGACTAAGGCCCTTGGCTGGCATGTCCTGTCAGATGGGCAACCATACCGATTGGATAAACAGATATTAGCCATCACCACCTCAGGGAGCAGTGAATTCCCCGAGTTCCGTCTGGGAAGAGGGGCTTCCCTGCTCTGCCCAGCTCCCCTCCCAGCCACCCTGATCCTGGCTTTGGGGGGGAGAGAAAAGGCTGCCATGCTTTGTCATGCTATGCCCCCCCCCTTTTTTCCCCCTCAAACAAAAGAGCGCCTGGGGCCTGGGCTTTTCTACCCATCGGCTGGATTGCCCCCCCTCTAATGTCCTTCTCAAGGCGGGTGGCCAGAGCTGCACCTGCCCCCCCCCGAAAATTCAGTCCAGCCAGCCTGTTTCCAGTCCCCTCCACCAAGAGTTCCTAGCTGAGAACTTCCCGTATACAGCTAGTCCTCAACTTATGACCACAATTGGGACAGGAACTTTCGTTGCTACATGAAATGGTTCTTGAGGGAGCAGCACCCAATTTTATGATTGTTTTGGCTATGGTTGTTAAGTGGATCCAGCTTCCCCATTGGCTGCGACTGTTGTATCTCTGAGTTGGTTGCTAGGCGCCTGAACTTTGGTCACGTGACTGCGCAAATTCTGTGACAGTCATAAATGTGAGGACTGCTTGTAAGTCACTTTTTCAGCACTGTTTAACTTGGAATGGTTGTTAAATAAACGGTTGTAAGTTGAGGACAACTTCTGCGGTGGGGGGGTGTTCCCAGTATGGACCACTTTGTGCTTAATTCAAGTGAATTGCCTGACCTGCCTTCTCTGGTGAATGAAGGGTTAAGGCCAGGGGTGAAATGTAAAATTTGTTACTAGCGGTTCTGTGGGCGTGGCTTAGTGGGGGGGTTAATGTGACTGGGTGGGCGTAGCCAACTTTTTTTTTTTATTTCAACTTTTCAAAGCATTTTTTCTGCAAATGCAAAAAAAATGCTTTGAAAAGCCTCTGCCGATTAGGCAACACAGCTGGGATCGTCAAAGCCTTTTCAAAGCATTTTTTAACCACCTCTTCCCCAGAAGAGATTGCAGGAAAAAATGCTTTGAAAAGCCTCTGAGATCCCAGCTGAGCCATGCGATCATCAGATGCTTTTTTTTTTACTTTTAAAAGAAGAAGTTGTAGAAAAAATGCTTTTAAAAGTAAAAAAAAAAAAGCCTCTGATGATCATGTGGCTCAGCTGGGCATGGGAGGGGGGCAGGGATTTTTGCTACCAGTTCTCCGAACCACCCGCCACCATTGCTACCGGATCGAGTGATCCGGTCCAAACGGGGAGCATTTCACCCCTGGTTGAGCCAGAGGAGGCAGCCTCCCCACCAGCCACAGGAAGCCTCCGTTGTTTATAACAATTATTCTTTTCTTCCCAGGGCGAAATCGGCTTTTTCCTTTCTGCAGCTGCCTCGCTCTTGGCTTACTGCCAGCTTGCCGTCCCCCAAGTCTCCCTATTCTCCCTCCGCCTCCTGCCCACACAATCCTCCCCCCATCTGGGGCTCCGGCACCAGGACTTCAACAGGAAGCTACACCCTGTCCAAATGAGACCCCTCCCCAAACTCCCAGGAAGGAATGGCGCAGGGGAGCTGCCCAGAGTGGAGGCATTTGCACTCTTGGCCCCTCAGGAGATCCCCTTGTGACCCCCCCCCTCGGCCTTGACATCCCCTCCTGGCAGGATCCAGAGTGGTGGGCCTGGCCCTTGCTTGAAAGGAAAGCAGGTGCTCCCCATCCCTTTCCAGGGTGCAGCTGTCGGCAGGCAGCAAAGGCCTGGCTACCCAGGTGGGGTCTCCCCAGACCGTCTTGCAACCTGTCTCTGGTCAGAGGTGCAGGGAGGGGGCACCTTCCCCCACTAGGACCCACAGCTTTACTGCAGCTTCTCCCAGCCAGCCCTCCCCCACCCAATCCAGCTACCCCCGAAAAGTGTCCAGAAGCTTCAGCCGGTGCAAAAGGAGGCTGTGGGGGCAATCCTGTCTGCCCAAAGAACGGCCAACACAAGCTGTGCTGGGTCCAATTCAAGGTGTTGGTTGGGACCTATAAAGCCCCACATGAGCTGGGGTCAGGTTACCTAGGAAACGGTCTGTTATACCAGCCTGACCCACCTAGTCAGGCAGGGAAGATGCATTGTGGACCCCACCAATCAAGACATTCCAACTGGGGGGTTCAGGAAGGGAGCCTTCTCTGCCAGTCCCCTCCCCCCCATGGAAGATTCGCTCACTGGGAGATGAGACAGCCCCCCACCCCCACCTCACCTGGCACAAAACATGGCTCTGCAGCCTTGTGTGGGGTTCAGATAGGAGGCCTCGGCTATGGGGCTGTCTAGTCCCCGGCAAGTCCTCCCCCAGCTTTTAATTAATTTTCACACTGCTTTGTAATTCATCCTTGTCTTTTTAAATTTTATCTACTGTTTTTATGTTGTGGTGTTTTCTCTGTACAAAGCCCAGAGTTCTTCTGTGAGGGAAGTGGGCGGTTTTAAAATTCAATAAACACATAAATTAAATTTTGGTCTCTGCCAAAGACTTCTCCGAGATCAAGAAGACAGCAAAGGAGCTGAGAACCTGGTGCCAATCTTGAAGTCGAATGGAGACCTGGGCAAAGGCCCAGCCTGGCCTTGAGGAAGGCTTCAGAGAGAAACATCTTTATTAAATCGCCTAGATACATAAATTGATTGATTGGAAGGGGGATATGGAGTATATGGGAAGCAACGGAAACACCCATAGAATAACCCCAAAATTAAGACAAGCAGGCTCCCTAATGAGCTATGAATTTCTAGATGCCTGAATGAGACTTTGAACTTTAGCAGAAATCCAGAACTTATGGCAGGGCCAGGATACCTGGGGAGGCACCTGGGCTTCCTGTTTGAATGCCTTACTTGCTCCTTCGCCTACTTTTCTTTCTCGCCATTCTTTGATTTTTTATGGAAAAGGATAATGGAAAGCCAGCCTCTCTGGCAAGATTGATGGTTGCTGGTATCCTGTCAGCCATTAAAAATTATCTGGCAGCTAAGCCCACCTTCCCAAAGACCCCCGTAGAAAGAGGAAGAGGCAGTCTGGGCTTCAGCCTTTGGGCCACAATGAATGGCATTGTGGCAGAGAAACTCTTCAGAAGCAAAAAATGAACTCCGTTTATTGGGGTCTCCCGGGGTAGGAATCAATCAACCTGGGGTTCTTCAGGTGTCATAAATCAGGGAGTTGCAGACTGGCCTGGGCTGGTTTTGGTCACCAGACTACAAAAAGGTTGTTGAGACTTTGGAAATAGTGGAGAGAAGAGCAACTAAGATGATTTAAGGCCTGGAGACTAAACCGATGAAGAACGGTGACAGGAACTGAATATGACTACTCTAGAGAAAAGAAGGACTGGGGGGGATATGATAGAGGCATTCCGGTATTTGAGGGGCTGCCACAAAGAGGAGTGGGTCAACCTATTCTCCAAAGCACCAGAAGGCAGGAGAAGAAACAATGGATGGAAACTAATCTAATCAGAGAGAAGCAACCTAGAACTAAGGAAAAACTTCCTGACAATGAGAACAATTAACCAGAGGAACGACTTGCCATCCAGAAGTTGTAGGTGCTTCATCACTGGAGGTCTTCCAGAAGAGACTGGACAGCCAGTTGCCTGAAATGGTATAGTCTCCTGTTTGAGTAGTGGGCTGGACTAAAAGATCTCCAGGGTCCCTTCCAGCTTTATTCTGAATGATTGATTGGTTGGTTGGTTGGTTGGTAAATTGATTGATCGATAGATCGATCTGGCCTGGGAATGCTGCACTGAACTCAGCATTGTCCCCGCAATTAGAAGCCACCAGTCCGGAGGAAAGGTTGATCTAGCTCATAGCAGAAAACTCACTTTACTTAAAAATGTGGAGCCTTGCCTTAAACTCTCCAGCTCCACATTTAAGCCTGTGCACCATGCCCTTCCTGTAGTGAAATAGTTTCTGCAATGTAAAAGGAATTCCACATTGTGGTTCTGAAGAAACAGGCTTGGGTTTGGGTCCATCAGTCTGGCAGGCTAATGCAACCACTAATTGCAGGAAAGGTGATGTCAGGTTAGTAGGTTAGGCGAAGTTAAACTGCAGGAAATGCTAGTGGGGCCTTCTGCAGAGATCGGAGGACCTGGAGCAGAGGTGGGTTTCTGACCAGTTCTGGAGAACCGGTAGCGGAAATTTTGAGTAGTTTGGAGAACTGGTAAATACCACCTCTGACTGGCCCCGCCCCCATCTATTCTCTGCCTCCCAAGTCCCAGCTGATCAGGAGGAAATGGGGATTTTGCAGTAACCTTCTCCTGGAGTGGGGGTGGAGATTTTACAGTATCCTTCCCCTGCCATGCCCACCGAGCCACGCCCACCAAGCCATACCCACAGAACCAGTAGTAAAAAATTTTGAAACCCACCACTGACCTGAAGTTTTTCTGCCACACTTTAACCAGCTCCTAAGGTGGTCCTAAGCCCAGAAAAGCTCCTATTTGGTGCATCAAGATGGGAGAGGTTCTGAAGTGCTGCAAAGAGAACATTTCCACTGAACTGCATGAAATCTTCTGTCTTTCTTGGAGGGAAAGTGGAGCACCACAGGACATGAAGGGTGCAAATATCGTCACACTGTACAAGAACAAAGGTGACAGGGGTAACTGTAACAACTACCGTGGCATCTCTCTTCTTAGTGTTGTAGGGAAGCTGCTTGCCCGTGTCGTACTGAAGAGGCTCCAGGTGCTTGCAGAGAGAGTCTATCCAGAATCACAGTGTGGATTTCGAGCCAACAGGTCCACTACTGACATGGTATTTTCCCCTAAACAGTTGCAGGAGAAATGCAGGGAACAAAGACAGCCACTTTTCGTAGCCTTCATAGATCTTACGAAGGCTTTTGACTTGGTTAGCAGGGATGGCCTTTATAAAATTCTCCCAAGATTGGATGTCCACCTCAGCTCCTCAACATCATCAAGTCCTTTCATGAGGAAATTAAGGGCACTGTAGTTTTTGATGGCTTAACTTCAGATTCCTTTGTATTCGAAGTGGAGTGAAGCAGGGCTGTGTCCTCGCACCAACTTTATTCAGGATCTTCTTTGCTGTCATGCTGAAACATGCTTTTGGAACTGCAACAGAGGGTATTTACCTCCGGACCAGATCAGACGGAAAACTCTTTCTCTAGATTGAGAGCAAAGTCTAAAGTCCAGCTGAAATGCTTACGGGATTTCCTCTTCGCTGATGATGCTGCCGTTACTGCTCACTCTGGCTGAAGACCTTCAACAACTTATGGACAGTTTTAGCAAGGCTGCCAAGACTTTGGACTAACAATCAGCCTGAAAAAAACACAGGTCATGGGTCAGGACGTGGATTCACCTCCCTGTATTACAATCTCTGCACAAGAACTGGAGGTCGTCCATGACTTTGTCCACCTCAGCTCAACTATCTCTGACACTCTCTCTTTAGATACTGAGCTGAATAAACATATTGGTAAAGCGGCCACCACATTTTCCAGACTTACAAAGAGAGTAGGACTTAATAAGAAGCTGATGGAACATACAAAGATCCAGGTCTATAGAGCCTGCATCCTGAGTACACTCTTGTACTGCAGTGAGTCTTGGACCTTTACACACGGCAGGAGAGAAAGTTGAACACCTTTCATATCCGCTGTCTCCGACGAATTCTTGGCATCACCTGGCAGGACAAAGTTCCAAATAGTGCAGTCTTGGAACGTGCTGGAATTTCTAGCATGTATACACTATTGAAACAGTGACATCTACGCTGGCTGGGGCATGTCGTGAGAATGGCTGATCGTCGGAATCCCAAAGATCTCCATCACTATGGAGAATTAGTGCAGGGAAAGCGCCTCAGAGGGAGACCACAGCTGTGATATAAGGATATCTGCAAGAGGGACCTAAAGGCCCTGGGAATGGACATGAACGACTGGGAAACCTTGACCTCTGATTGTTCAGCTAGGAGGCTAAAGACGCAGCATGGCCTTCTCCAATTCGAAGAGACACTTGTTCGGCAGGCTGAAGAAAAGAGGCAGTCCCGGAACCAGTGAAATCTGGGGGCTGGGCAGGGGACAGAATGTATCTGCCCTCGGTGTGGAAGGGATTGCCACTCTCCAATTGGCCTTTTTAGTCACATCAGATGCTGTTTTAGGACCTCTTTCTAGAGCACGATACCATAGTCTCTTGAGACTGAAGGATGCCAATGATGGGAGAGGGAGAAGGGGAAGGAGGGAAACACCGAGGGGAAGGCTTCCCCCACCCCCGAGAGGCTGTTTCTGGGTAAGCTGGCAGGGATGGGAGGAAACCTCAGGCTTCTCTTCCTGCTGGGTTCAGTCCCTGCCACAGAGGGGGGGGGAGAGAAGGGGAGGGGGCCATGGGAAGGACAAAAAGGGTCAGTGGGGCTGCTTTTGCCAGCAAAGAAACTGGATTGGCAATGGAGACGGGAGCTTTGGAGAAGCAGGAAGCTGAGTCGAGAAGGTGGAGGGGGGGAGCAGAGGGGGTTGAGGGGAGAATTCTTCCTCTCTACAAATTTGCCAAGTGGGGGGGGGGGAGCGAGGGGGGAGGCAGCCAGGTTATGAAAGTCTGTTCTGCGTTTCCTAAATGTGCCAGATCTTCAAGAGATGCTCTTCCTGTTCCTTGCCAGACAGGATCGTTACCCAGAGGCCCTCCTGTCCATGGGATATTGGGCCACCCACTCAGTTCAATGGCTTGCAGGCATTTGAAGTTACTATTGTGTCTGTGTGCCTCTGCTTCCTAACAATAGAAACAAAGCTGTTAAAAATGTGCAAATGGAGCTGGGATTTTTTTCTTATTAGATGACACCCAAAGAGCAGGGAAAGAGAGCGACTTTACGGGTGGGAGACCTGGCCACAAGAGTGAATGAAAATAAGAGCCAGAGGAGAAAATTCTGCTGAGAAAATTCCTGGGGGTGGGGTCAGGGTTTGAAGTTGAACCCAAGGCCACCCAAGGTTCCTGCAGAAGTGGTGTTAGGAAGGGTCAGGAGGATTCGCTTCCTGCATGCCGTCTGGATGGAGGTTGAGCATCCCATGAGACCCCCGATTGCCCAAAGGGGCCATCACCACATCACTCCCTCTTGCCCAGGAGGCCCCGGCTGCTCCAGTGATCTCGGCTTCCCAAGCTGCCCAGAAACCCTGCTGCCTCGGAGCGACGGCACTCTGAACTGCCCAGGCTGGCCTTCCTCTGTGAAGCCCCTCCTGCCTCCAGCACGTTCCCCCTCTCCCCTCAAAACAAGGGGACCCCCCTCTCCGAACAAGGGGTGGGCAGAGGAGACCTTCTCAGGACTCCTCCCAGCCCTCATAGGGAGCGGGCGAAGGAAGGCTGGCTTCAAGGTGTGAAAACGCAGGGAGGGCAGGGCCAAAAGCCCGGGGGGCAGGGGGGACAAGCTCACCGGGAGGGCACGGACCCTGCCACGCGTGGGCAGCAGCTGCCGTCCCGGAGGGATTTCAGTGGGAGTGGGCTTGGTCTGGCCGGTACTGTAATGGCAACCCAGGCGCTGAGCTGCAGAGGCTGCGGGGGGAGGGGGCATGAGGCTGTCTCCCCTCCTCTTTCCTGGACTTCTGTGACTGCCTACTAATCTGGGCAGCCTCAGAAAGAAAAGGATGAGTAGAAATCGGTGGTGAGAGAGAGAGAGAAGGGCAGGGCCTCCGGTTGCTTGGCAGGGGGGTTTCCTCTGCTTCACTTGCAGTTCTCTTCCTTATACCTTATTATTCCCCTTGGAGAGAGGGGAGGGAAGTGGGAGGGCAGGGCAGGAGAGGAGGGGAGGGGAGGGCGGGACGTGGGGAGGGGGAGAAGAGAGGAGGACAAGGGAGGAGAGGAGAGGATACAAATATATCTAAATGTGTTTACACAAACCCCCCACTGCATGGGTCTGCAAAGCAGTCTGGCTTCCACAAGCACCCACCGCCCCACCCTGTGGTTTAACCTCCTCCAGTCCCGTCTCCTTTTCAGGATCTCATTAGTTCCAGCACTAGTTTTCTCAATTCTTTTCCCTCCCCTCAGAGTTGGAAGGGATCCGAAGGATCATCTCATCCAGCTCTTTGCATTGTCGGGGAAAGCAATTAAACCGCCTCCAAGACCTGGCCTGCTAACCTCTTTTGGAGAGCCCACAGCCTCCCTAGGTGGGCTCTTCCACCGAGGCACAGATCTGGTCCCATGTTCTGTGACAACTGAAAATACGGTAGTGCCAGATCACCTTTTAATGTACCTGAACCCTGGTATCATGGTTCCTTCCAGTCTTCGGTTTTTCCCCCAAACTGGACATCCCTGGTTCTTCAGCTTGTCCTCACAGGTTCTTGTAAGATCTTTGTCACCTCTCTCAGCACCTCTGAAAGGGAAGTGCCCGGACACCGTCCTCCAGATGTGGCCTCACCAGAGCCGAAAGAGCAGATACTGCGAGGACCTCGCATGACTCTTAAATGCAGCCAAAAACTCTGCTAGGCCTTCAAACAGCAGGCTCACCCCCCCTCCCTTTCTTACCAGGGACTATCCTGTGAGGGATCTCACGAAGAACGATGGTTCGTTGAGGGCGCTTCCAAGAAAAGGTCAGCACGCAAGGATGCAATCAAATTAAGTCTTTATTTAGAAGCAAAAGTAGAGTAAAATAAGTTCCCAGGCATGGAGGCATCCATGCCTGGATTGAGCCCGTGGGTCAGTCCCATAGACTAGAACAAGAGCAGGGAAAAAGGGAAAAGGCAAAAAGCAAAAAGGGGGGGAGCAGCCCCTGTGCAGGGGTCCCTGGCCCCTCCCTTACAAGGTGTGTGAGGGGGCCGGAGAGCCATTAACTTTCCCCAATGGGGCTGCAGGGGCTGGAGCCCCTTGACCCACCAGTGGGATCAAAGGTGCCTCTTTGCTCCCATCTGGTGGCCTTTGAAGAGACTGCCATGGCTGGCACAAAACACCTGACACATCCCAAGGGCTTCCCTGCTGTCATTTTCCCAAGCTGTGGCTCAGGGGCGGGTTTCAAAACCCGTAGCTACCGGTTCGCTTGTGGGCGCTCGTGCGCAACATCTGGGCGGGTGGGTGGAGCCTCCTGCTGCCGCCATCGGTTCGCCCGATCCGGGGTGAACTAGTAGCAACCCATTACTGCCGTGGCTGCTCCCCCAATGTGCCCTGTTGGCTCCCCCTTAATTTTCCCCTGTGGAAGCACATTTTGTCCTGGCAGCCAGCAAAAGCCCCGACCGGATCGCAGGCTTGTCCGGTCTCCCTGGGTTGACCATCCCTCCCTCTTGTGGATCACAGGCCGGTTTGAAATGCGGCCCATCAGTCCCCTCCTGAACCAGGCCCTTAATAAAAACACCGAACAACAAGATGGATCCCCGCCAGGCCCGTAGTTCACCCCTCTTTCCCTGGCAGGATTGCTTTGCCATTTAAATTCTTGCTGGTTCTCCCTCTCTCACCAAACCATCTTCAAGGATCCTTGTTCTGGGTCACCCTTCTTCTTCCTTCACCAGCCGTGACTTCCTGGCCTTGTTTGGTCTTGTTTCACAACAACACACAGAGTGAGGCCGTTCGCAGGGCCGGCAGCTTGTTTCATCTCATGTGCTCCCAACAACCCCAACCGAGCATAGGAGGAAGCACACCGCCTTACATGCGCCAGAGGGATGCCCCCCTTTGCCTTCTATGCTGCTGAACAAGCCATGATGTCTCAGACAACCAGGTCAGGCCTCCTTTCCATGCACCGTCAGTCAAAGCAACGTTTTGGCACCTCCCTAGGGGCCTGCCCTCAAATTACGGTGCTTCTGCCCTCTGCCAAGCAAATGAGAGGGGGGGTTGGGTCTAGGGCGGGCAAAGGCAGGGGAGGAAGGGGCGGGGGCCCCTGAATGAATTAGCAGCAGACCCTGGATCAGGCCGCTCTCTTCCAGCTGGGCTAGAGAGAAAGGCAACATCCCGGGAGAGTCACCCAAAGGCCTCCTGGGCTTGGCGGCCCACCCTTCCATGCTCCTGTGGGACCCACAAGGGACGCTTGTGGTTGTGCAAATGCTCAAGGTATCTGCCTTGCTTTGTGGAAGGGCCTTCCAGGCAGACGGTTCCTCTCCCCAAAGGGCCTCCCATCAACCGCATGCTTGGCTTCAGGCTCCTCCAGACATTCCCACGGGGAAAGGAGGAAGGTCCTTTGGCCCCGAGAAGCCCCCCAGCCACAGCCTCTGTAGGGTGGGGGTCTTCTTCGGGCTATCAAGGCTGGATTCTGCACTGATGATAGAGACAAGTTAGATACAGATACATACATATTATAGAGCTGGAAGGGACCATGCACCATTTTTGATAGAAGGCAGTCCAGTTTCGTCTTGAAAGCCTCCAGTGATGAAGCGCCCACAACTTCCGAAGGCAACTTCTGTTCCATCGGTTGACTGCTCTCCGTCAGAAAATGTCACCTTATTTCTAGGTTGAATCTCTCCTTGATCAGTTTCCATCCATTATTCCTTGTCTGGCCTTCGGGTGCCTTGGAAAATAGCTTGACCTCCTCCTCTCTGTGGCAGCCCCTCAAATATTGGAAGATGCTCTCCTGTCTCCCCTGGTGCTTCTCTTCACTAGACTAGCCAGGCCCAGTTCTGCAATAATTCTTCATATGTTTTAGCCTCCAGTCCCCTCATCATCCTGGTTGCTCTTCTCTGCACTCTTTCTAGAGTCCCAGCATCTTTTTTATAGTGTGGTGACCAAAACTGGATGCAGGATTTTTGGCTGCTGCCGCACACGACTGGCTCATATTTAATTGGTTGTCCACTAAGATCCCTCTCAGAGTTACTTCTATTAAGCCTGGTTTCTCCCAATCTATATGTGTACTTTTGGTTTTTCTTGCCTAATTGTAAGACCTTACTTTTCTCTACACTGAATTTCAGTTTGTTTGAAGTTCCCTCATCCGTCATCTGGGAGGATAAAGGAAAGGGCAGGGGAGGTATTCTGATGTCTCCCTAAAATATACTCAAGTTTTCTGTTTTTTTTTTTCATTAATGCATTTGAAAATATTATCAGAAAATAATCAGCACAGTGCATTAAATCGTTCACATGTATATATGCTTATCGTATTCCAGATATTTTCCCACAATATCATTCCTTTTCATTCTTTGTTCCCCTTTAGGTGTTTGTGTCCCCCACTCCACAAGTTGCTCGTCACACAAAATAAAGCAGAGTTTCCTTCTTTGGAGTCAACTATTCCATGTTGTAGCTCCCTCCATTTTGGGTTTTCTGGAGCCATTTTCCACCCAGAGAATCCAGGCAAAAGCAGCCCTTGATGAGCTTTGGGACAGAGCCAATTTGCCAGTCCTGAGATGGGGTCCCCCAATTCTCGTCTTCTCAGCAAAGATCACTCAGGCCAGGACAGGAGGGACTGTCATCAGGTTTTATTTTTTTCAACACATTAAATAAGCTGAATATATTAACAAGTATTTCCAAGTATTATTAAAAACGCAGCTGCCTTCTTCTCTCCACTGGTGCCAAAAAGAGAGGGGCCAAGACGCCAGACTGACCCACAGCGGACCAACCCTGTGCAGGGCAGGAGAGGAGAGGAGGGGATGGGTCAGGAATTTATCTCATCTCCCTGCCCCATCCCTCCGACACACCCCACGGCCCTGTGCCCAGTGCGTGCCAGTTCCCCCCCGTTGGCAGAAGGAACTGGGCCTTCCCTTGCCAACCTCACTGCTCGAATTCCCTTCACCCCATCCCTGCATCTTCCTGCCATTCTACTTCTGTGCACCCACCCATGGTCAAGAGGTTGGGGAGCCAAGGACTCACCCCTCAGGACTGCAACGGGGCCAGGCAGGGGAGGGCAGAAAGCAGCAGCCCCTTATCGCACAGAGACCGGGCTGGGGACTGGACGGCTCCCTCCTGCCTCACAATGGGCTTGGCAGCCCTCCCTGCAACATCGTACCACCCTGCCCCAAGGGTGCAGTGCCGCTCCTCGGCCCATGGAGGTCTGAAGGGCAGCCAGGATGTCCAGGGGGACCTGAAGTGCTCCTCGACCGCAGAGCCAGCCTCAGGACTGGGCTTCCGGCAACTTGAGGCTGGGCTCTGCCAGGCCTGGTGCCAGGCCCTTGCAGTGCTGGGGGTGCCTCTCCAAGCACTGCAGGCTCTTGGCCTCGCAGTTCAGATTCTGGTAGCGGGGGGTGCTGGCGGCCGGCCGGTGGCAGACGGAAGCAAAGCTGAAGCTGAAGGGCCCCAGGCAGCAGGCGGGGCAGGCCAGCACCTCATCCTGCTCCATCACACAGCTGCTGCTGGAGGGGCTCAGGGGCAGCGTCGTGCCCGGGCGCTCCGTCTGCGCTCCCTCCACCGTGGGTGGCACGCTCAGCTCCGAGAAGCTGCCACCCCAGCCGTGCTGCTTGCTGTTATTGTTCAGGAGGAGTCCGTTGGGGGACCACGGCCGGGCCGCCGACACGGCTGTGCTGATGAAGCTGCCGTTGGTCAATGGGGGTGCCGGGCCGGCAGGCGCTGGGGCCGGGCTGTCCGGGCTGCAATCCATTTGCTCGCCGGCAGGGGAACCGGGAGGCTCTGGGAGAGTGCGGTTCAGGGCCAAGAGGGGGCTGTGGGGCGGCTGTTCCCGGCGAGGCAGCTCTGGGGAGGCCGGCAGCGAACGACACCTGCGCACGATGGCTACGGGCTCTGCAAAGTTGCACTGCATCTCCACGGCGGGCTCCGGCGTGATGGGGGTGCCGGGTGGAAGAGGCGAGGGGGGTGGCAGGTTGAAGGTCAGGGAGATCAAGGACTTGCTGGGTGTGTCGAAGAGCTTGATTCTGCCCCCCTTGAGGTCCTGGCGCTGTGAAAAGGGGTTGACGCGCTGCGGAGTGTCGTGGGCACGGGGCAAGGTGGGCGATCGAGGGCAGAATACGTCTGACTGGCTGCGAGAGAGGGGATGCTCTGGGGTCAAGAGCTGCTGGCCAAGCAGGCCAGATGCTGTGTTGGGGAAGGAGAGCTGCTTGGCCACTTGACCTGGATGCAAAAGGAAGGGGAGGCATGTTAGAGGCATCTCAGAATGCCCTGAGCACTGCAAAAGCCGAATCTAGACCAGCAAACAGCTCAGCTGCAGCTGTTCCAAAGGGCTGGGAAGGAAACTGCCCTGGCATACGCGGAAATTCGTGCACATTCCTCCCTCCCCCCATGGCTCAGAGGCCCAGGAGAAAAGCCCTCCTCTGCCCCCAACTCAAGCCAAGCTTGCGATATCTTCCGAGGCTGCCCATTTCTGTCCTGCCCAACTTCGCCCCTTCCCAGCACCCAGGACGGTTCCTTTAATCTCCAATGGGAAAAAAAACCCCAACCATGCAATCCATACTTCTAAGGGGGTGGGGGCAACCTCTTCACCTCTTGCCCACCCCCCCCCCTCTCCTGAGAGGCTACCGTTCAGCGCGGCTGCCGAGTTGGTCGGGAGGGCTGTCCTGTCGTCATTCGGCAGGGCCAGGCTGGGGTCTCCCGCCGTCAGCAGCATGGCCTCCAGGCGCTGGACGATCTCCAGGAAGGAGGGCCGGGCAGTGGGCTCCATCTGGGGGCAGGAGAAGGGAGCACATAGGGCAGCTCATCTCTTTTGGGTCAAGTGGGAAGCTGCAGGCCCAATTTATGCTGGGGGGCAAGCAGCCTCTGCCTTTAGCACCAGCTCACTATCTGGCCTTTTCTGGTGGAGCAGAGTGGCCTCCCCTCCTCAGGAACACCCTCTCCCCCGAGGCCCTGCCCCCATCCAGCTCAGCCTGCTCTCTGCAAGTGAGCAGCCCCCGGACCCCCCGTCCCCAGCAGAATTCAGGAAGACAGGCTGCCTGGTTGCTTTGGCCCCGGACGATAAAACAGCAGCCCAAATGGGGATGCCCAGTGCTCTGCCAAATGGGCAGCTTTGTAAGGGAGCTGCTGGGCGTGAGGGCCCCCTTCCGGGGCTCTTCTCCTACCCTGGTTCCAGCCCGTCCCCCCTTCTTTGGGGGGAGGTGGCGCCAAGACCCACCTTGCAGGAGTGGAAGGCCAGATGGAGAAAAGTTGGCGGACAGCCGGCTCCCACCAGGTTGCAGAATGCAGCCACATCAAGGCCAAAGTCCTGAGGAGAGGAAGGGTGAAGGAAGGGAGGGGATGAGGAAGAAGCCTCCCCCCAAAAGATACTCTTTGGGAAGCAGGACCAGGGAGCCGGCGGCCACGCTGCCTGGCCTCACCCAATTTCAGTCACATTCTCCCCCCCCCTCCCCAATTCAAGAGGAGAGCTCAAGAGGAAATGCCTCTCCCACTCCAGTCCCCCCTCCATACACAGAGCTTCCTGGGAGGCCGTTGGTGGCTCCCCTCGGTTTGGGAGTCTGCAGGGAGGGCGCAGACCCCCGGCTCTTATGCTGCAAACAGGCTGGCAGCAACATGTACCGGCTGGAGCTCCCAAATGGAAGATGCTCCCCCAGAGAGTTCAGCCTTACCCCACCTGCCCCACAGGACCCTGCCCCGATGCCAGGGGGGCGGGTCAAGAGGCCTCCGGGATACGGCCTGGCACACAAGCAAGCAGCTGCGGCAGGAAAAGGCCTCTGAGCAGCAGCCAGGAAGAAATCTGATCACTGCCAGGGACTCGCAAAGCAGTCAGGGACTGACCGGAGAAAGGATCCCCCTTAGAGCTCAGCCCCCTCCCTTCCGTGCCCTCCAGCCCCTTTTGAGCTCCTCTTGCCCGGAGGAAGCCAACCCCCCTGCCCGCTTTGTGCATCAGAGTCCTCGCTTTAAGCTCTCCCCGTGCGGCCCAGCAGCCTCCCCTCTTGCTGGAGCTGCAGAGGGATGTGAGTGGGGGGCTTACCTCAGTGCGTGGCAGGTAGTCGGGGTCGGCTGGCACCCGTGCGATGATCTCACAGAGGATGATGCCGTAGGCAAAGACGTCCGCCTGCAGGGGACACAGTGGGGTGGTCTCGGAGGGCCTGGGGGCAGACGTGGGCCTGGGGGCCCAGGAAGAACTGGGCCGGGGAGGGGGCAAGCAGATGCCCTTATCCTTCCCTCCCCCCCTCCCGTGGTCTCCTTCCCATTGTTACTCCTTCTTGTGGGGCTCACCTTCTCGTTATACAGCTCCCCATGCAGGACCTCGGGGGCCATCCAGTACGGAGAGCCCACCACAGCCAGGGGCTCCTTCTCACCCCCCTCACTGCAAGGAGGAGGAGAGGCTGTGTCAAGGCAGGATCGTGGTGGGGGGGAGGGGCGGGGAGTCAACAGAAGCAGCAACATCCTAGCTCACCTGTAGGTGGGGATCTTCTCTGCCAGGCCAAAGTCGGCCACCACGGCTGTGTAGCCATTGTCCTCACACCTGACCAGGCAGTTCTGGGGGGGGAGAGGTCCATTTGAGAGGCCATTCCAAGTAAAAGGCAGCTCCCAGGATGGGGCATCCCTGACCACCCACCCCCCAGGAACTAAGGAGAGGGCTTGGGGGGGGCACCAGAGCAAAGGCTTTTCAGGGTGCCAAGAGACTCTGCTTATCCTTCTCTGGGCACTAGAAAGGTGGGAGACCCCACGGCAGGAGCCACTCCTTTCCAGGGAAGCCCTTCAGAGCCCCCCTCCCCCAATCAGCGCAACCCCTGGTGTCAAGCTGCCCCACCACTCAACCCGGATCCAGTCGGGGATTCCCCCCCTCCAAATCCTCTGCCCACTTTGAGGCACAGGTGGTGGGGGGTGCAGCAGAGCCCCCCCCCCACCTTGGAGGTCAGGTCCCGGTGAAAGATGCCCTTGCTGTGCAGGTAGCAGAGCCCCCGGGCGATGTCCAGGGCCAGCTTGAGGCGGACGGGCCAGGGCAGTGGGGTGGGGCTGTCGAGCAGCTGCTCCAGGTTGCCCCCATTGATATACTGCAGGGAGAGAAAGAAGAGCAAGTTCTGGCGCCCTTTGTCCCCCGGAACAGCCAGGTCCCTGGCAGGTTCTTGACGCCCGCCCCCCCCCCAGCACTCACCTCTGTCAGCGCATGCAGCTGGCCTTGGTGAACGCAGACCCCCATGAACCTGGCAGAGGAAGAAGAGAGCAGCCGTCAGCAGCGAGACCCCTGCCTAGGGCCCCAAAGATGCCCCCTCCCCGTGGCTTCCCTCTGTCCCCAGCACTCCTGGGAAAAAAGGAGTTGGACCACCCGCTGCTCTGCCCTGGACACTGGGCACCATGCTCACCAGTGGTGGGTTGCTACCAGTTTGCCCCGGATCGGGTGCACTGGTAGCGGTGGCGGCGGGAGGCTCCGCCCACTCACCCGGATGCTTCTGCGCATGTGCAGAAGTGTCGCACATGCGCAAGCACACGTGTGCCCACGAGCAAACTGGTAACGAAGGGTTTTGAAACCCGTCCCTGATGCTCACCACCCCCCAGGAGGTGCTCTGTGCCTGAGAAGCTCTAGGTGGGGTTCTCGAGCCATTTGGGGGGGCACCAGCAGACCCCAGCAGGAGGGGCCAAGCGCCCCCCGGCCCTTCTTCCAATTGACCCCTGAACATTTACGCCTGACCCTCCTCAGATATGCTGGACCCTCCACCCCAGAAGGCCCCTTTCTTCCAGGCAAGGGGACCCTGAGCCCCACCAGCCCCCCTGCCCTACCGGAGGATATTGGGGTGGCAGAGCCGGTTCATCAGCTGCACCTCGCGCAGCATGTTCCCTCGGTTGCTGGTCAGCTTGTTCATCTTCAGCACCAGGACTTGTCCCGACTGACGGTGCCTCACCTGTGGGGACAGCCGACCGTCACTCTGGCAGGGGTCTCGGCACCCACTCTGGTCGAGGGGAAACCCCGTCTGGACATCACCCTACGGAACAGGCTCCAGCAGCTTCTCGGTTGTGAGCAGTCAGTGCTCAAAGGCCTCGAGTGGCAGAGCTCAGCATGCTGCACCAAAGCCCTCAAATGCCCACCCAATCTGTCCCTAGACTGGGACTCATGGGAACTGAAGTCCAGTGCCCCAAGGAGTGCCAGCTTTGAATCTGCCAGAGCTACAAAACCAGCCAGTAGCCAGAAAGAGGCTCAAAGCTTTGGAGCTGCCCGAGGTCATTTGGAATATTATGAGGCACATCCTGAAAAACAAATGGCTTTGATATTTCTAGATGCACAGAAAGTCTTCGATAATGTGAATTGGCGATTTATGTTATTACAGCTGGAGCACATGGGCTTTGGTAGAAAATTTATTCAAGCCGTAGAAGCTATATATCACAAACAAACAGCAAAAGTAATGATAAATGGAGAATTGACAGAGTCTATTGAAATAAAAAAAGGAACGAGACAAGGTTGTCCACTGTCACCAACTGTGGCTCTTGAGGGGGTGTGGACCCCCGGGATTCCCCAGCCAGCATGGTCTCAGCCCCAACTTCTGGGAGTCCACACCCCCTCAAGTGCCACGGTTGGGAAATCTGCTCTCAAAGAGTCCAGCCAAAGAGTTTCCACACACACCTAACACAAGTTGCCATCATACCACCCTCCCCGTTTTGCTGGAGCCCCCTCCCCAAATTGCCAATGGCTTCACATTCAGGAGACACATCCATTCACATTTGAGGAGGGCCCAGGCAGTTAGGGAAGTGCGAAGTGTGGAACAAAAGAGGGGGAGCAGAAGGAAGGGGGGGATAGGGACCTGCTGTTAAGCAAGAATCTCCCCCACCCCCCACCCCCACCTCGCGAGATGGCTTCTCCTGATCTTCCTCGTTCCATAGGCTTCTCACATTCTGGCATAATTGCAGTCTGGAAATTGCTGAGCAGCAACTGTATTTTATTGATTTATGGCCCTTGCCCCATAAATCAGTCGGAAGCCTCACAGAGAAGAAGAACAAAGGAACGTGGCATTCCTGCCCAGAGACTGAGAAGCAGGGCAGGGCAGGGCAGGGCCGCCAAGGGGCCTCAAGAGGCGCCCAAAGCCAGGGCACATGAAGAGTACCAGCCTGCCACCCTACTCCCTCCCCTTCCCTCGCTGACCCTCCAGCAGCCTCTGCTTCAGGACAGCAATCCGGGCGCATTGGATCAGCTTCAACCACCCCACATGGGGCTAACGGGGCAGGAAAAGGGGGGTGGGGAGGCCAAGCAAGCCAACGCTCAGAAGCCCATTCCCCCAGCGATGCCATCAGCTGGGCAGAAGGACAAGGTGAAGGGGCACCTGCCCAAGTGGCACCCCTGCGCTCTTTCAGGGCCGGGAGTCTCCACTGGGGGGGGGGGCAAAGGCAACGCCAGCCCTCCCCCTCGGCTCCATTCACAGCACCACAGTGGCCACGCACAAGACTCCGCAGGCCCCCACCAGGGTCTGTGCCCAGTGGGTAAAAGCCCTACAGCCTGCTGCCAGGTTTGGGGGCCAAAAGGGGCCCCTTTATTGATTTATAAATCATATTTATATAGCTGCGTCTCTCACCGAACGTGACTCTGGGCAGCCTAGCATAAAACCATAAAAGAACCCCCCAAAACCCACAGAGCCCCTGGAGCACAGATTTTGGGGTCGTTTTCCCACTGTGGAAGGTCAGGCCTTTCCCCAACACAGCCCAACCAGACAGGTCTGGACGGTGGGCTGTGTGTGGCTGGGAACTGACCCCAGGCAGAAGCTGAGTCTGCACCAGCCACAGCAGCAACCCTCCCACTCCCCAAGAGCCAGGGAGCAGCCTGCAGCCCCTCATGGCCTGTTGAACAGCTGCCTGGAGAGGCCCAGCCACCTCACTGCCCCCCTGCCCCCACTTCCAGTGGAGCCTCCCTCTTAAATTCCTGGGCTCTGCAGCCAGAGCCCATTCCTGTCCTTTTTAGTCCATGTCTCAGGCCTCCCTCCGCTGCGCCTGCTCCCTTCACCCCGTCCTCCTGGCCCTGGATGGGACTGCTCCCCCTCCATTCTGGGAGGGGCCTGGGTTATGCAACCAGGAGGAGCCCAAGCAGAGACTCTGGGGGGGGTGAAGTGCGGGGGCAACACTCTTCCTTTTGGGTTGAAGCCCACTACCCCCCTTTTCTTAGCAAGCGATAGGGAACCTCCGTGCCAAAGGAGGAGCTCTAGATGCCCCTTCTCCATCCACATGCCCAGCCTGGCACAGCTCTGCCCCTGCTGCCCCGAGGAGGAGCTGTGCTGGCAGGGGATGCCCAAGGTCAGAGGAGTTCACCTCACCCAAATGTGGACCCTGTCCTCTGCCTGGCCTGGAGCTGCCCCTGTGGGACTGAGCTCCATATGGGAGATACAGGCAGGGCCTCTGAAGGAGGGAAGCCAGCTGCCTGGCACGTCTGCAACGTTCCTGCCAGCCACAAAGCTGCTCTAAGCAGAAAGCCCCTCCTCCTCACGGGGACCCTTCCTGGCCCTCCAGCAAAAGCGGCTGCTGGACGGACAGCTGCCTTTCCTCCTCACCCCTCCAGGCCAGCCCAGACCCACAGCGGGAGAACCGCTGCCTGCCAGGAAGTGCCACCCCACTAAAGTGGGCAGCATGGCCAGCAGGCACCTCCCGCGTGTCGCCTTCCCAGGGCAGAAGCTGCTTCTCCATGGAGGGCAAGCCCAGCCCTCCGACTGCCCTCCCCCACCGCTTTCTTGGGGGGCATTTAAAGTTTGGAGCCACCTCATTGCCTGGGCCCACGGCAAGCTCCATCACCCCGTTTGATAGGCAGGAGAGCCAAGGACGGATCTGCACCCCAGCTCAGCCCTGAAGCACAGCTGGCAAATGACAATTGCCATCGTACAAACCAAACCACCTCACAGCATCACAACGGAAAGTGAAAGCCTGATTTGCACAATACTCTATTCTCAATCCACGAGTATGTGAACTCGGCCAATTCCTGCCTAAGAGCAAATGAGGAGGGTTTAGCCATTCACATGGATTGTCCCCCCCCCTCCCCCCCAATTCTGGGCGAAAGCCCACCTCGTCTCTCCCACTGGTTTTCTGCTGGGTTTCCCAGCCTCCTCCCTCCCAGGCCACACCAAGGCCAGCCAACCAGCTGTGGCCGAAGCGCCTCCGTGCCCAGAGAGGGAGGTGCACACAGGACCTCCGTGGGGGCATCCCCAGGAGACTGCAGGCAAGCAGCCCAGTCCCTGATCTGAGACGTGGGTCAAGCAGAGCTCCTGTGGGGCTGATTGCAGTGGGGCCGGGGAGAGGCCTAAGGCAGCTCCATCTGAGAAGGCGGCAGTGGCCCTCACCTGGGGCTTGGAGCCTAGCCTGAAGGGTCCTCCATGTCCAGGAATGGCCATTCTGGGACCCTCCGACAGAGCTGAGCGGACTAGGACCAGCTGCAGCTCCCAACCAGAACCACAAGTGGGGTCACTTTGGATGGAGCCGGTCAAAGATGCCACCAAACTGTGGTGGTGGGAGGTCAAGGGCAGCAGCCAAGCTGGATTACCTGTCCAGGGCAGAGACGCTGCCGGCTGCAGGGAGGAGAAGCCAAAGGGAACACGGGCAGTTTTGAGGCAAAGAGAGGCAACCGGACCTCCTGGGCCTTTGGGGTGGTCAACATGGGCTTCAGGCCTGTCCCATGTCACGTTGAGAGTCCGGCCTCCAGCTGCAGGGAGAAGGAAGGAAGCAGGCAGATGGCATGGAGGGTGGGGGACCCCTTGGGCGGAGAGCAGACGGGAAGACGCAGCCCCACCAGAGCGGCCCTTTGGTGCCATGCAGGCTGGCAGGAGCTGTGAGTGGCAGACAACAGCCAGGCCATCCGCAGGACAGCCAAATGTCCCCTGACCTCTCTGGGGCACCTGGTCCCATCGGGGGCCCCAGCAGGACTCCGGGGGGCCCAGCAGCTGCACCAGGGAGGAAGAGCGATCAGGAGAGCTTCCCTCCAGAGAAGCCGGACAGGCTGTGAACTGCAATGGTCAGCGACTCCCCCCCCCCAGGATGGTTCTCTTCCTGCAGGGTGAGAGCTCCACAAGGGCTGGCAGACCGCAGCCTTCGCCCGTTCATTTGCCATGGCAAAAGGGAGCATAAAATAAAACCTGGTTGGCATTTTTCTGAGCAAAAGCAAGAATGCTTTCTGGAAGGCTGCCCCATGATCCCCCACAAGGCATCCCTGCTGCCTCGAAGTGACCCCTGGCTTCTGGCCCAGCATGGGCACTGTTGCAGCCCCCCCCCGAGTGTGCTGGGGCAGAGCCAGTCCCAGGAAGACAATGGGGCTCGGACCTCTGGACACACCAGAGCCTCCCTTCTAAGAGACCACCCTGGCCCCTTCTTCTCCCCACCCCCACTGCCCTGTTCCAAGCCTCCGAAACTCCCCATCTCACTTTTACTATCCGCACAAGAGCCTTCACACTGTATGCTCAGCTTGGCATAGGCAAAGCAGGTACGTGGAGAGACTCCAGCCTGCTGGGTCTGTCCAGATGTTGTGCGCTTGAAAATGGAGGGGGGAGGCAGGCCTGGCGTGGCCCCAGCCCCAAAGCTCAGTGATGGCGGCCTCTGTCAGCCTCAGGGCCCTCCGCTGCTCCAGGCAAAGCCCCTTCCTCCTAGACCTGAGGAGCCCCTCCCACCCCAGTCACTGCTCAAGCATCCCAGAAGGCAAAGCCCTAGCCGGGCAGTCCAGAGCCCCTCTGCTAGCCCTGCGCCAGCCAACCTCAGGAGCTGAAGGTGCACCAGCTCCCCTCCCAGCACAGAGACCCCGGGCGCCAATTGCTTTGGCACCGCCTCAGCACTTCACAGACTGGGCTGGCGAAGGGAGTGCCAGGGTGGCCCCTGTAAAAGGCAGGCAGGACAGCAGCTCCTCCCAGCCATCCGGCCATGCCCACATGCAGTGCCCACTCTGGCAGCTGGCCTAGAATCCCAGAACATTCTTAGTGCTGAGCTCCATAAGGGCCACTCGCCCACCTCCAAGGCAGTCAGCTGGAACGCAGCCACGGCTCCCCTCACACACACGGAGCCCCCCCCCCCGCTCCCCAAGGGCCTAACCCGGCCCTCCCTCCAGCCCCCCTGCCCCCACGGCTGCCCAGGGGCCAGGTCCCAGGGAGTGGAGCTGCCAGCCAGTCCATGAGTCAGTCCAGGGCACCAAGCCAGACCTCTCCCTGCTTGCCGCCTCTCTCAGCCTGCACACAACACATACAGACACACAGCTCAGACTCCAGGCTTGCCCTGGGCAACCTGCGCACAGAGCCCACATCCTAAACTAAGACTCTGGGGCAGCCCCCACCTTTTCCTATTCAACTTCCACCCTTGAGGGGCTGGCATAGCCTCAGCACCTGCCCTGATACCCCCAATGCTGGCACTAGGGAGAGCCCCTCCCCCCCCAATTGCAGGAATGGATTTCCTGCCAGGAGGCTGCAACCCCTCCCATTCAAAGGCACGACCCCTCCATGGAGCAAACTGTCTTGACAGATAACCTCCCCCTAAGCCGCTCCTCCAAGGAAAGCCTCTTCCGCAGCTAATCCTGCAAGGCTTCGGCCCTGAGGGCCACAGTCAGAGCCAGAGTGGGGCAGCCCTGCCTCTCACCCCACGCAGGGTGCAGGTGAGTCTCCAGGATGAGCACGCCTCTGACCCCCACGCCTCAGCAGGTGCGTCTCCGGGACAAGCACCAGAGGCTGCCAAACTCCGGCAACTGCTCGATGGCAGCAGAGTATTAGCGGGTTTCAGGCTGGCCTGGCACTCCTGACACAGCTCCCAGGACAGATTGCATACAACACACCCAACTTGGGTTCCTGAGCATTAATCCAGCTCCCGATTCACACATTACCCTAAACTAGAAACTAACCAAAGAAACTGGAATGCACACCAAGCAAGGGGCATCAACACCAGACGAAAAACTAACCAGGACCCTCCCCAACCGAGCTCAGTGCCTGCAGCAGTCCAGCCACTGGGCCTGAACGGATAAACGCAAGTTGTGTGAACCCAAGCTAGCTGCCTCGAAAGAGCAAGCCAAGCTGCACGCACTGGGTCCCCTGAGTTCAGCAGTGGCCACTTGGGGGCCCATGACCCAGCAGGGGGGCCAGCAAGGCGTCTCCTAGCAACAGCAGCCAGCCGGGCCAGGCAAAGGGGCCAACGGGGCCCTTGCAAGGAAGGAGACCCAGGGAGGACCCGGCAGAGCAGCCAAACCGACCACCCCATCTGGGTGCCTGCCCAGCAGCAGGAGAGGGGCTGCCCAAATGAGGCTGGCCCCAGAGGAAGAGTGGGGAGCCCCCCACCCCCCCACCAAAGCAGCAGCTCTGAAAAGCCACCCAGATCCAGGCGGGGGGAGGATTCGGAAAGGCTCGTTCCAGAGGGAAATGGAACGCCATGTCCCCCCTCCTTGCTGCTGAACCACCACCACCCTCCCTGCACTGCTCCCCACTGGCCAGGAGAACAGAGCTGCCACCCCACCCAGGAGTGTCACCCACCCATCTGCCTACCCAGTGCAGAGCCCAGCCAACACGAAGCCTTTGGGGGGCTCACAATGCTAAAAGAGCAGAAGCCAAAGTAATGGAAAAGACCAGCAGGCAGTTCTGAAGAAAGACTCAGATTGGATATAAAACATCCTAAAAGACACCCCCCCCCTCACAAAGCCTAGGGAAAGACTTTGTCAACAAAATAGATGAGGGGGCCTCTGGGGAGATGGTGAGAGAAGGGCCACTTTCTGGTCCCAGAAGGGACCCCACTGAATCCAGGGGAGCTGGGGCATGCCAACCAGAGGGGCAGCAACATCTCGAGGGAGGGGCCCTGGGAGAGCCAGTCCAGACCATCTGGACCCCTTGGGTGCACTTCTCCCTGGAGCCAGCAGGTGGCACTTCTCTCCAGGGAACCCAGAGAATCAAGGTGAGCCAAACCCCCACAGAAACCGACTCTTTGGAGAAGACCCCACCCCACCCCCCAACCATAAGTGCCCAAAGCCTCCTGGCCCCACAAAGCTTCCTCTGCCTGATCGAAGAGGCCAGGTGACCCCTTCCCTTCCCCACCAGTACCCTCCCTGTCACAGCCAGAAATGCTTCCATCTTGGGCCAGCCTCAGCCTGATCTCCCGTCTTTGCCTGAGTTGGGGGACACCCTCCAGAGCAGAGCTGGCTCCCCTCCTGGGAGAGTTGGAAGGGCTGGCCAGCCAAGCGAGGCCTCTCTGTGCACCCGTCCCAAAGAGAAGAAGCTGCCTGGAGATCAGACTTTTCCCGGCCCAACTGGCCGAGCCACAGCCTGCCCTGGGACTACTGGCCCCTCCCCCAGCAGCAGAGAGGGCCCGGGCCCCCAGCCTCCCCTTCATTCAGCTCAGTCAATCTAAGGAAAACCCTCCCCCCCCCTTTCTGGCACCACAGACTCTGCCATGTTCACAGCCGTCCTGTGCCTCTTGCAGCTGGAAACTGGTCTGATCACTGGAGTCATCCATGCCACGCAGGGTAACCCTCCAAACCAGGGGCTTCAGCAGACCCCATCCCAGAACACTGCAAGCCCTGTCCAGGGTGCCTTTGGTTGAGGCAAGAGGTCTTTGGCTGGCTGACCACAGCAGGCAATTTGCCCGCTGCTGGTTGCAAGCCAAGGTTTTGCCTCTGCCAAGATGTTAAGCAGCTGTCTTGGGCTGCAGATCCCTCTTGCTAACTCTGCACGTGGACAGAGGACCAGGCAGCTGGCAAAGGGCCAGAGGGGCACAGGGTTACATCAACACTAAGGGAAAGCTGACACTGGGGCCATCTGTCCAGCCTGAGCACAAAGGGGGAAAACAAGAATGTCAGAATCCAGCCCCCTTCTTGGGGGGCACAGAGGTTCTTGGTAAGACCAGGGGAGACCCGTTTCCTGGCAGCCGGCCCCAGTTCAGGGCTCCTGGGCTGAAGGGGAGCATGACAGCTCTTTGCCACTTGGTGGCCCCCAACCAAGGCCGGGGGGAGGTTGAAGGCATTTGCCCCCAAGCCCCCTCCAACATGACCTGCCCTGGAGGAGGAGGAGGAGGAAGAGAGCAGCAGCGGGGCCCCACAGCCAGAGAACCCGCCGGACTTCCCAAGGCTCCACAGCTCTGCCCATTTATCAGTCCTAACAAGGAAGGCCTCCGCAGCAGGAGGAAACTGCTGGGCCAGGAACCCTCCTAATGCCACCGCCAAATATTAAGCCTCCTCCAGGACTGGGCCGGTCCGGCCGCGGCTCTTGGCCTGCAGAGCCAACTGGGGCTTCAGCCGAGGCTGCCGGCCGCGGGGTCCTTCCGGGGCCACCAGGGACCCCGCTGTCAGCCCCGGGCCAGGCCGCAGCCCGGAGAAAGCAGCCGGCGGCCGAGAGCTGCCCGGTCGGAACGCGGGGGCTCTGAGTAAAGGAAGCCGCCGGACTTGGCGGGCCCCCCGCAGCTCCTTCCAGAGCCTCCCGGCAGCGAACAGAGGCCAGCCTTCCTCGGGCCCCCGGGGAAGGGGCGGCGGAGAGGCGGCCGACCCCGGCCGGGCGGGGCAGCGGGCGGCGGCGCGCGGGGCTCACCTTGAAGACCTCGGAGAAGAAGCCGGCGCCGATCTTCTCGCAGTAGAAGTCGTCGAGGCGCGCCAGAGTGGAGACGGCGCTGCGCAGCGCCCGGTAGGAGGAAGGCCGCAGCCGCCCGCCCGCCTGCCAGCCCCCCGGGCCCGCCGCCTCCCCCTCGGCCTCGTCCAGCCGCAGGGAAAGCCCGGGCCGCCGCGGCACCTTCTCCCGCTCCATGCCCGGAGCGCCCCAAGGCCATGCGCGGGCGGCGGGCGGGCGGGGGCCCCGGGAGGGCTTCGCTGCGCCCCCGGACGCCGCGGGCTTCGGCCTCCGGAGAGCTCGGCTGCGCTGCGGCCCGCCAGCGGCCGCCCGTCGGAGGCGGAGCCGCGGCGGGCGGAGCGACTCTTAACTCCTCGGTTGCCGCGGCTGGAGCGAAGCGCGGCGGCGTCTGACAGCGCTCGGCGGCCGGGAGGCGCGGCCACGGCTCAGCCTGCGCCCGCCCGGCCCTCTCCGCGGTCCGCGCCCGTCCGGCGGCGCCCCATCCTTGGGCCGTGGCCGAGCGCCGTCCGAGGCCCGAGGGGGCTGCAGCCGGAGGGAAGCCCGGGAGGTGGGGGACATCTGGCTGCGGCGCTCGGGACCGGAGCCCAGCGCATCTGGAGAGCCGCCCTGATCCGCCGAGGAGCCGGAAAACGGCTTGTCTGAGGAAGGGCCCCGCATCCCTTCCATAAGGACCGCAACATCTGCCCGGCTGCTGCCTCGTTAATGGAGCAGCCGGGCAGGCTGCATCCTTGCTTCCCCCCCCCAGATGTTGGAGGCAGAGCAAAGCTGCTTCTGCATATGGTTCTTCTGCACAGCTGCCCCGGTGACTCCAGGAGCGGAGCAGGTGTGTTTGGTCATCTGTGGAACTCTCCTCTCCAGGTGTGTTGATGGGAAATCGTGGAAATGTCTCCGCCTCCTGGAGTGGGAGCAAGGAGGCTCTTGCCCTCATTTTTATGTCTTTAATTTGTACTCTTTTTTCATTTAACTGCTTGGCCAGAGCTCTGAGACAAAATGAAGATTTCAAAACACTGGGAACAAAGCAGATCAACCCAGCGTCGACCATACGATCCCCTTGTGGGAACCTCAAAGGCCAACTGACTCCTCCCTGAGCGATTGAGTAGAATTGAGCCACCCTAAATTGGTACCAATCCCTACAGATGGTCCTAGCTGATGGATTCAGAAAATCCCAGAAAAGCTCATCCTCCAGAGGGACCGGTCTTGTTCCCATCCCCTTTCAAATCCAGCCCAGAGAGATGTGGATCTCAACCTCAGGGAGTGATGTTCACGCCACAGACGGATGTTATCCGCCCCCTTGGTTTCCACAGGCTCAGACAAATCCCAGGTGAGGTTACATGACCTCAGTCAGCACAGTGGATTATGGGCAGGGGGTGCCTATCTCCAAAGGCCCCGAGGAGATCAAAGTTAGCCCCCTTTCTGGGGTTTGAGACAGCAAAGGAGCACCAGAAGCATTCGCTTGTCCGTCTTGACCTGGGAGCAGATGAGACTGCTGGGACATTCCTTGCCATGATAGATGGCTGCTTCACAACCGGGCGAATTAAGGAGCCACCAGCCCTGCAGAGAGGAGAGTGATTCAGCTGCCAGGCATCCCATGTATCTAGATGTGCCCAGGTGGTGCCCAGGGAGTTTCCTAGCAATCCAGGCGGACAGCTTTGACAAACACCCTCAACCTCTGGAATGCAGAGTTAGGCAGGGCACTAGGCAGGGTTGCTCTGAGTGACCGATCCTCACCTGCCAGTCCCAGGCCGCCCCCTACTCTTCTGAGCAGCTCCAGGACATGAAGTGGGCGATGAAACACCCTGGCAGAAGATGAACATGCGTGACCTGCTCAAACAGGCCCAAGAAAGCATGCACCCACGCTCTGCTCTGCAGCCCCAACAATGGAGAAACGGGTCTATTTGCCCTTATTGCAATGGCTGAAGGTCAACCAGATGTCCATCCTTGGAAGGGGTGGAGCAAAAGACCTTGTGAGCACAATTATGGCCCTCCAGCTGATGAGGTCCCCAAGGAAATAGCTCTGAGCTGGAGCCCACAAGGACAGAATCCAGGGAATGAGGGAGGGGTCCCCAGGCGGAGGGATCCTTCAGGGGCAGGGGAGTTGCAGCCTAGGGACCCTGGCATCCCAACTCCCTTGGCAACTTTATCTGGTACTGGAGGCACTGAAGAAGGTCGCTTACATCCTTGCCGTCTCATTACTAGGTCATTAGGAGTCACTCAACGGGGCTGTCCTTGAAAAGCACCCAGAAATTTCAGCTGGTGCAAAAAGACGGGGGCCATATGCTTATGAAGGAGCAGAGCCCTCCCGGGGCTGCCCAGATCGCCAGTGTGTCCCTTAGTGCGATCCAAGGTGCTGTTTGAGGCCCTGGTGGCTTAGAAAGACTGCCTTTGCCAGGAAGACTCTGCCCCCCTCCCCAAGCCAACTGGAACACCCCCACCCCCACTCCAATCCCGAGGAGCAACTGGACGGCCATAAAGGAATATGGAGATGAGAAGGAGGTCTGCTCTGGCAGCTTCAGGCGCCTTTCCTTGCGCCGCCCACCCCACCCTGCCCATTTCTTTCTGGGGCTTGCCCTCTCTGGGTTCCTCCCAAGGCTCCCCATCTTCCCACCTGCTGCTCCAGTGGGACAAGAAGAGGGGCGGTTTTGCGTTCCCACTTTAACCATCTTCTGACTTAGATTCAGTGGCGACGGCAGCCACCTCCCTTGCCTCATTGCGGTGTTACCTCAGTGCCGCTCCTGGGCAAGTGGGCAGCTGTGGAAACTGAAGGGGTTGATAAACCAGCCATGACTTTTCTACAGTGGATCTCTCCATAACTAGCCTGCAATCGGTCGGTCCCTCCTTCCACGTCATCTCCCCACCCGTAACTGCCCTCCTTTCCTGAAACACCTCTCCTCTCTCCCCCTAAAATCTTGCTCTCTTGGTGCAACCACCTCCTCCTTCATGTGCCCAATTTACCAGCTGAGCCTGTTCTCACTGTTCAACTTTGCTCACGTTTCCCCTGCCATATCTTCCCATTCCCCCCCCCTTCAGAGCCCTTCTTGTTGTTGTTTCTGTTGGTTTAATATTTTTTACAAATAATCCAGATTCTTAGCTGACATCATCTGTGTGCAGGTTAAATTGCCAAATAAAATAAAACAAAATACCAAAGGATTCATGACCCCAAATGCACACAATATTCTTTAATGCCAAGTCCAGCATTTCATTTTATTGGTTAATTCACACTTTCCATCGTTTGCCTTCCATGTCTCTGTCATCACCTGATGAGCCATAAATATTGACCATGGCTGCCTATTGTCAATCAAGGCTGAGTTATTAGTAAGATTACAAATAGAATAACCTTCCAGAGTTGGAAGGAGGGTTGGAGGTCTTCTAGTCCAACCCTCTGCTCAAGCAGGAGACCTTACACCATTTCGGACAAATGGCTGTCCAATCTCTTCTTAAAACCCTTCAGTGTTGTAGCACCCACAACTTCTGGAGGCAAGTAGTTCCCCTGGTTAATTGTTCTCACTGTCAGGAAATTTCTCCTTAGTTCCGGGTTGCTTCTCTCCTTGATTGGTTTCCATCCGTTGCTTCTTGTCCTGCCCTCAGGGCCTTTGGAGAATAGATTGACTCCCTCTTCTTTGGGGCAGAGTAAGAAGGTCGAGGTTGGTCATACCTGTGCTTGGTCATACCTGTGCTTGGTCATACCTGTGCCACATACCACAGGCCCAGTAGGGGAAGTTCCAGTCTGTTTTAACAAGTTTCACAAGTGCAACCAAAGCAGAATTTTATCAAGTACAAGTAATCCTCAACTTACAACCTGTTGCTTAGTGACCATTTGAAGTTTCAATAAACCTACCTAGGGATGCTTAATGACCTGGATTCCGTCTGGTGGCCAAATCTCCTCCCTGTAATCACATGGCCACATTTTGGCTGCTCAGCAACCAGGTTGCATTTATGGCTATTACCAAAGTCCTCTGCAATCACACGACCACACTTTTATGATGGTTTTGCCAAAGCCCAGCATTTACTTCCGGTTTTCAGCAAAACTGCACCCATAGTGACCCATTGGGTTGTGGCATTTGCTTATCAGCTGCCCCCAAAAAGGACATACAATCGGGTTGACCACAGGACTGACCTGTTTAATGCCATCATGAGTTACTACATTCTCCATCACAGGTGTAACTTGAGGACTGCCTGAACACCCCTCGGTCCCATACAAGCTAGGATGTCCAGCATAGCCATTCCTTTCCAAGGCAACAGCCTGCTGCCTAAAACCCCGAAACCAAGAAGAAACGGAGGGCCCCGACACCTATTTGGAAGGTGCTGGGGGGTCTTAGACGTTGCTGGAATCTGGACATGGAAGGGTAGCAGAACCCAACAGAAGGGAGGGATCAAAGAGGGCCCAACCTCCTCGCAGCCGCTCTTCCCCTCCCCCTCCCCCTGGGGGAGCTCCTGAATGGGGGAGTCCCAGGAGGGTGACTTTGGGGCCCAAGGAGAAAGAGACCCCCCCCCTTCAAATACATATGTATTGTGGGATGTCTATTCTGCTTGGTCTCTTTGCGAACTCCAGATTGGGTGTAATACATGAGGATGGGTCTTTCTGTCTTCCCCGGTCTTGGCCCCACCCCCACCCCTCTCTTGTGGACGGAAGGGGGGCTCTGCTTGCTCCTCTCCATCTTCAGAGAAAATTGGAACATCGGCAACTGTTGGCCTGATGGATCCTTTCTCCCCGCTGTCTTAGGTTACCTTCTAGATATTACCTGTAAGGTCAGCAGTGGCTGTTTCCACAAGTGTAGCCATCCCCTACGGCCGCTACAAGGGACATGAACCAAAACTCCTGCAGCTGAATGTGAAGCACAGCAGAAAGAGGAGCTTCTAGAAACAAGGGGTGTCAAATATCCCCCCCCCCCCCGCTGCCCCCACATCCTGGCTTGGAAGGAGGACCAGACATTCATCTAGGTCAAATTCAGCTTCTTGGCTTCAGGTTTCTGGGGTCAAGGAGCAAAAGGACTCTCTCCTTCCATTTCCCTCCAGGTAGACATTTGAGGTCTCTGTCTTTGCACAGTCAATGGAATAATTTGTCTTCTGTGTGGCAATTTCAAACTTCAGGAGGTTTCTTTCTAAAAATGAGCTGGATCAAACTGAGATCAGATGTCAGAATAAAATGAAATTAGGCCGAAGGGTAAGCTGAAGCACACGATGGAAGAGGATTATCCCTGGGCTAATCAATCATTTAGAGGTGGCTCAGTGAAGACCTCCGCTCCAAGTGCGATGGCTTGGTTAGAAAGGCAGGTGTGGTGCCTGTCGTCCTCCGGACAGGCGCTGCAAATAAACCTGCACAGGTCTCGGTACCTTCATTCATCTGAAGCAGCTCCTCTGGGGCCCAGGGCTTCAGTGGGTCAATGAACCACCCCTAGAATTGTCCTTGGTCCAGTCAGACAACCTCAAGGGGATGATAGGGTTAAATTAGACCTCCAGTCAGTCCCCTCGGGAGAACCCCAAAGGTGAGTCGGTGGGCTGGTCTTCCTACAATCCTCCAAGAAAAAAAAGGGAAACAAGGCTACGGCTACCCAATGGAGCAGCTCAGCCAGACTCTTTTCGGCAGCCCCGGTTGCACACAGTAGCTCTGCTCAGGGCATCCCCAGCCGGCCTTTGTCCAGGGTGAATGTCCATCAATGGTCCCTGCTCAAACTGCTTGGGAAGCAGAGTCGAGGACCCTTTGGGGATGGGAGGAGGGGACACGAGCAGGGCAGAGCCCCTGGCTGCTATGGCTGCACTGGGTCAAGGGCCCCATGAGTGTCACCCAAGCCAGGAGCTCCAGCTGCTCAAAGGGAGGGGCTGCTACCCCCTGCTGGGCTCCAGGCGCATGGCACAGTCAATGTGTTCCTTGCAGTGACCGGCAACTCCGGAGGGTCCTTTGGGCCTGTTGTTTGCCTGGATCGCCTTGCCCCTCAAGCAATGCTCCTCTTCAGTGGGAGTGTCTCTGCAGGCAGCCTCTGGCCTCCCACCTGCAGGAACAGGTCAGTCCTTCAAGGGGGGAGGGGCAGGCCAGGAAGAGGCTGCTCAGAAATCCTGTTTGAGACTTGGTGGAAATACGTTGGAAATTAATTCAAAATGCTGGAAACAGCCAAACAAATAGGAGGAGAGTTGGAGGAGATTGAGGAACTATTCTAAAATCAACTAAATAGTTGGTGTTCTGGAGGGGATCAAGCTGAGAATTAATCAAATAGAACAAGCTGGAAGATAGTTGAATATTAGAGGGAGATATAGTGGAAAATATATTAGAAATTGGAGTAAATAAAATATGCCTTTGAGAGAAATCTGTGTAATATGTAAACTGGGAGAAAAAAAAATCTAAGGTAAACTGATTTGAGGATAAGGGTCGAAGGATTAAAATTAGATAAAATGTTGTTTTATAAAATATAATAAAAATGGAGTGGTATTGAATTGAAACTAAGAATAAATGGTGATAAAATTGTAAGGTAAACACTTAACAAGAGGTTAGAATATTGTAAAAATTATTTTGATATGATTTGTATAAGATATAAGGTAAAGAAGAATAAAGATGTTTAGAATTGTTAAGCAGATGTAAAAATGAGTGAAACTGAATTTGAAACTAATTTTGGATAGATATAATGGATTTATATAGATGAAAATGTGAAATTTGAGATAAAATTGGTTTTTTCTTAAGTTTTGAATTTCTTTTTTATCTTCTTTTTTTTCTTTTTTTGTTTATTTATAAAAGATGTAATGGAAATTGTGAACTGAGCTTGTGAAAGGAATGTAAGCGTGGTAACCATCTATGACCGGATCGAGATTTTTGCTCTTGAAAGTTATGTTTTTATGTTTAAATTTGAAAAAATAAATAAAAAATATCTACAAAAAAAAAAAAAAAGAAAAGAAAGAAAGAAAAGAAATCCTGGGACTCTGCCTTTTGATCTGGTATCCAGAAACAGAATCTGGGAAGCCAGGCAGTGTTTTCCTCCCCTCTTGTTCTAAAGAGAGCCGCATAGTTCCCTCCGATGCCACTCCCTTCCTAGACTCGATCCATGTTTTGCCCGCCGGGCCTTCTTACCTTCTCCAAGGTCATCTCTGTGGTTCTCTACCAAACATGAGCCAACTTGCACCTGGACACCGGTTGCTGCCTTCCTTATCCCTGGGCAAATACTCCCATTGTCTCCTCCATCTCAAGCAGATAATGCTACAAAAAGCCTCCGTCTCAGAAGGCAGATTGGAGCCAAACAGACACATTTGATCAGGGAAGCGTTAGCCAAAGAGCTCACAGTAGGAAGATTGGGGCAGACCCCCAAACTGTGGCTCAGGCAGGTTGGGGACCCTCTCCTGTGCCACCTGCTATGGGGCAGAATCCTTGGCTGTGGTCTGCCTGGGAGACCTCCCCTAACCGGCCTGCCTGTGACCCTGGAGGTGGGTGGGGAGAAAGCCCCAGGTGGCTCTGGGAAGGGCCTGGCCATGGCACAGGCCAGGCTTTGGGTGGCTGTGGGATAAACTAAGTAGTATGTGTGAACATCTGTGTGGGTCAGGCTAGAACTATCTGGAGAAGCCCCCATCCCCACTGAGGCCAAGGACTCCTAAGCCTTCCTTGAAACCCCCCCCCCAGAGCATGGGATGGAGGTCACCCGGCATCAACCTCTGGGGTTGCCCAAGAATCAGGTGCAAGGGCTTAGCCAAGGATTCTGCCAGGGAGCGGATGGCACAGGAGAGAATCCCCAACCCATCTTAGCCACAGACACACCCAGCCCGCCACCTCATTGACAGGGCCTCTGGTCACAGCACGCATTCCAGGAGGATCTTCACTTGGGGATTAGGGCTAACAGAGGATTTAAAATGGGGCAATCTCTCCATCCTTGCCCAGCCAGGATTTCATAATATGTGCCAGGACAGTCCGTCCATCCATCATTTCTGGATCCAAGCATCGAAGCCAGCACCCAATTGCTCATCTCCCATTCCCCACCCACCCACCCCTGCCCAGGGCTCCCCCAGGTCTTCCCCTGCTTGTCACCCCAAAAATGTTTTTCCCTCTAGTTCTTTCTCCTCAGTAACCCAACAAACATAGCTAAGAGCCCATCAGCTGGGACTGAGCTCACATGGCTGCTGCTAATTCTCTGCTAACCCCCTGCCCCAATTCTCTCAATCACCCCCCACCCGCTTCCATTGTGGCCTCCCTCTCCAGTCGCTTGGGTCCCCTCCCCAGCCGTTGTTCTCTGACCTCCTCCCCACCAAAGCGACCTCTCTCACTCCACCAATCATCACTGCTGCCACCCCCCCCCAATCAGCCAAGAGGCCTTTCCAGCCCAGAAGAAACGGGGCGGCCCCTTTCTTTGATCAGGGTTTCCTTTTCTGAGGTTTGTTTGCCAAGTGTTGAATGCCTCTCTCGGGCATGGCCAGGGCCCCCGCTTCTCCAAACAATGCACCCTTCCGGGGCAGCCCTTCCCTGGAGCCTGAGAGGAAGCAGAGGGGCCCAGCTGAGAGAGGCCACTGGAGAACCTGCCTCAGACCATGGGCTGGAGGCCGAGAAGGCCTCCGGATCTCACCCTTGTCTGGAGGTGTTAGGGGGCACAGCAGCAGGAATGCTGGGGAAATCCCTCTGCAGCGAAGGCCTGCAGAGGGCTTCGGAGGGCTTCGTGTGCCTCCTGATGGACCAGGGAACTGTCTCCAAATCATGCTTTCTAGGCAGGCGAACCAAGACTTCTTTCTCTGATGACCTCATCATGTGTTTGTGCGGGGTGGGGGGTGGGGGGGCGGTGTCTCTCTGATATCCCTGTGGTTGCAACACCCCATGGAGAACCCCCTGCCTGGACGTCCAAAAGCCAGTTGTTAATGCTTCAAAGCAAAACAGGAATCTGTGGCAGAAGGAACTGAGGGGTAGGAAAGGAAGGCTGAAGGCAGGGGAGGGGGATTCTGAAAGAGGAAGGGGCACAGAGGCTTCTTGGGCACTTGGTTTACCAGCCTTCACTCTCCTCCACCCGCTGCCCCCTTCAAGGCTTGGGAAGCTTATCTCTGCCTGGATGAGAGGGGGGATGCCTCCCTCTGGGGGAGGCTTTGGCTAAGCAGGAGGCTATTTCTAGGGTCTTCTGAAGGGGCGGGGCCCAGCCCTCCTCCTGGCCCCTTTCAGCTCCCCACAAAAAGAAAGGCCCCCAAGAGGAGCCCATCTCAGCCTTGCTCCCACCTCCTCACCCACCCTGGGCCCCTTTCTCAGCTGGCCCCCACCCCCTCCCGCCTCCAGAGCTACCTTCCCTCCTGGGCCTTTCTGCCCCCAGAGCCATGCAGGCTGCTGAGCTGGAAATACTGTGGGACACCCAGCAATCTTGGCCGAGGGCAGCCCTGCCAGTCTGGCCCTTCTGGAGAAGAAGAGGCACGTTCTGAGGCGCTACCAAAGAAGGGCTGGGGGGAGAAAGGGATTTCTTTTCCCCCCAGCACTGAAGGCGGCCAAAATCTCCCTTTGCCCTCCCCTGCACCTGCGCCTGGTCGCCTGCTTTTGCCCCCCTGCCTGGCAAGGCTGGCGAGTGTCTGCCTGGCGACGGTTTCCCTGGGCAGCAGCTCCCATCCCAGCTCCCGCCCACAACACATACAAAGCCCTTCCCAGCCAAGGCTCGCGCCAGCCACTCCGCACATCATGGCCCCGGCGGCGGCGGCGGCGTTTGTCCCCAAACTCAGCCAGGTCCTGCTGACCCCGGAGCCCCACTTCCTTCCTGGGTAAGAGCCGGCCCCTCTGCCCCCCCGCCCCCTCGGGCCTGGCTCTGGCGCCTGCTCGGGGCAGAGGAGCGGCACCGAGGGGGACGAGCCCCCGGCAAGCAGGCAGGGCGCCAGTTCTTTGCCCCGCCGCCCACCTGCGGCAGACCCTGCGGAGCGACCCGGGGGTGAAGCTGAGCGTGTAAGGCCGGGGGGGGGAGCAGATTCCTGGCGTGTCACGAGCGGCGGGGGGGCTGGGCTGGCCGGGAGGAGGGCGCCCCTCTCCCTCCGCCCGCGGAAGCCGCTAGAAGGCGGCGGGGACCCCGCAGCATCTTCCGGCCGGAGCCTCGGCAGCCCCCCGGGAGCCAAGAGGCCCGGCCGGGCTCTGCGCTCCGAGCGGCTCTTGGGCAAGTCCAGGCGGGCCGCGGGGCTGGGCTGGGCTGGGCTGGGCTGGGGGCGCAGAGAGCCGGGAGCGCCGAAGGGCCTGAAAGTTGACGGCGGCTTTGGGGGGGCGGGGTCTCCTCTTCTGCTCCTGTCCTCGCAGCTACGGCGGTTACTGTCCCCGCTACAAATTCACCCTGGGCCGGACTTACGGGCAGCTCACGTCGCAGCTGCTGGCCGCCCCCAGCCGCTCTGGCCGGCTGCTCCTCCAGCCCAACTGCGCCCCAAAGGAGCGGCTGGGGCCCGGCAGGAGGGCCCGGGGGAAAGGCTACAGCGGGGTCCCGGGCTACACCGGTAAGTGGCGCCGGGAGGGGGGCTCTCCTCCGACTGAGAGGGCCAGGAGGGTCAGCTGAAGAATGGGGGGAGGGGGGCTGAAAAGACGTTCCTCGGCCCCTTGCAGGAGGCAGTCGGGGGGGGGGGGGGGGGGGTCTGGACTCAACAAAGCAAAGCAAGGCAAAGGGGGGAGGGAAAGGTTGTATTGGGAGTCCTAGTGGAGGGCTGCCTAGACATAGCCTCCCCCTACCATTTTTGAGCACCCTTTAGCGACCCCCTTGCAGATGGGGCCAGAGCTCCCAGTGCCAACAAGCCAGTCCTCCCTCTATATCTCAGAGAAGGTGGGAAAAGGGCACCAGCTGTGCCAGTGGCACTGCTTGGAGCAGAGAACCTGGGTATCGATTCCTTGCTGAGCCCAGAGCCTTCCTGGGGTCCCACTTCGCCTTCTTCCAGCTCTCCTCTGTCTCCTGGCAGGATTTGTCCCCAGGGCACAGCACCACTTTGCCAAGACCTACGGAGAAATCTGCAGGCAGGCCTGGCTGGAGTTTGCACCCAAGCAGGAGTCGGGGGCCCGGGGCCGGGGCCAGGGCCAAGTCGGGGAGGTGACCGAAGGTCCCCAGCTGGAAAGCAGAGTAAGTGGCAGGCAGGGCATCTGGGAGCCATGGGGTGAGGATGGGGACTGGGGGCTTCCAGAGCATCTCCTGGAGAAGGACTGGATCCCCTCACTGAAGGTCTCTCCTCCAGCCCCATCCTCAAGGGGGAAAGGTTCGTGGCACACCCGCCCTTTCCAGAGGGGGCTTGGGGCAGAAAGAGAGACAAAAAGGGGCACAGCCTGAGCTCTGCTGCTCCCCCCCCCCAACTTGTGCAAATGAGGGCTTCCCCTCGCCTCCACATCCCAGCACAGAGGCTCCCCAACTGGGTCATGGCTTGAGGAGGGGGGCACAGGGGTAGGGCCCCAGTTTTCCACTCTCATAGCCTCCCACTATGGGTCAAAAGCTTCCTTCCCTCCCTCCTCCCCCCCTTCCCTGATGCCTTTTGTGTCCCTCTGCATGGGGGTCCCCCAGAGCAACAATGAAAACTGAAGAGACCTCTGTTAGGAGCCACCTCCGATCTTGCAAGCCGCCAGCGTGTGGGGTCACAGGGTGCGGGTCTTCTGGGGCCCTTCTTGGGGCCCTTTGCCTTCTGTGCCGGATGCTGCTTCACTGAGAGGAGCTGCAAGAGCCTCCAGGTGCCCACAGGCCTCCAGGGACTCACGACCAACTCTGCTCTGCTCCTAGCGTCTCCCTGCCCTGCCCACGGCTGAGACTGACGCTGCTGCTGCTGCTGCCGCCCCCCTGGCCTTCTGGCCCCCAGGAACGCCCCTTGCGTTGGAGAGAACCTTTGTTTCAGGTCAGGCTCCAGAGGACTTGGGACCCCCGAGGGGAAGAGGGAGCAAGCGTGTCCCAGAGAGCAAGGGAGATTCTCCCTCGGTCTCACAGGCTGAAATGCCCTTCCCACCAGCGCAGAAGAGACCCACATCTGTGCCCCTTAGGGCTCCCCAGCCTCTTCTTCTGGCCTGGCACCAGCTGCGGTTTCCCTCTTCCTTGCTGCCACAGCGTACTGAGAGCCAGGGCCTGCTTGGCAGTGAGCCACGAGTCTCTTTGGGGGTTTCAGGGCCCTGCTTGCTAGAGCCAGGGGCTTGGAGCTCTGCAGGCAGAGAAGTCAAAGGCAGCCTGGGAGCAAAGGGGAGACCCAAGTGGAGGGAGAGGGAATCCGGAGGCACCACTTACTTTAGTGTATTTACTTAGAGGCAATGTGTGGAAATGCACTAGCTTGCCTTCTGAGAAAGAGGGGTCCTCATTACCATGAACCATGGGGGGGGTCCAGCTGTGTGTGTTTTGGGGCTCAAAAACGAGAGGGACTCTTCCGTCTAGGGGAGCTGACACCTGGCACCGACAGTTCCAGACACACCTGACTGGCTGGAACCTTCACCAATCGGTCGATGCCGAACAGGGACTGCCCTCCTGCAGGAGGGAGGGGCTGGGCTCCCTTGCGAGAGGGTCCTGAGGGTTTAAGCTCCCCGACTCTGTCCCACAGGCTTCACTGGCTTTGTGCCTCGCCTCCAGTTCCTGATTGGAGCAAGCTACCCCATTCTTGCCCACCGGGCAATGGTGGAGTTTGATGAGATGCTGCACAAAACGGGGCAGGACTCTTCACAGAGGAGGGATCCCCTCCCGCCCCTGGCCAAGACGTACCCCACAGACCGGGGCCTCCTGCCCCACTACAGAGGCTATGTGCCAGGTGAGTGCCTTGCCCCCACTTACCTCTCCCCGTCCCTTGGATCATACCACCCCGCCAAGCCCTGCATGGCCTCCCAGCACTGGAGGTGGGATGTTTGTTGTGCCTCTGATGCCAAACATGAGAACTGCCAGGGGTGGCAAGCATTCAGAGTCCAGCTGCCCATCTCCCACTCGGTGCCCCTGGAATGAAGCCACACTTGTGCCACAACTGGCCAGGCAGAAACTCCAGGGCTCGGCCTCCACCCTTGGGGCCCCCTTCTGAGGGGTCTCTTCCACAGCCATCTTGAGAGGCCCGCAAAGAAGATCCCTGAAAAAAGGGATCAAAATCCACCTTTGCACAGATTCCTACCAGCCCAGCTGCAGAGGGGGCCAGGGATTCTCTGGGAGGATCCCTTGAGCTGCTGGCAGACACCGAACAGGCAGTCTAGCTGTGGGTTGGGGGCCCTGAGGCACGCAGCCCACTCACTCGCTCAGGTGGGATAACAGTCACTAATCCAGTGAAACCGTCTCACCAATGGGCTGGAGAGCCCAGCGCCACATCAACCAGAGGCTGCCCTCTCGGAGGACGGCGGGTCCTTGCCTTGAGCCTACAGAAGGGGCCAGGGTCCACAGGCCCCTGCAGGCCCACTATGGCTGACCAGCTCAGCAGCTCCTTCTCTGGAGGGCAGGGAGAGCCTTGCTTTTCAGCCCACCCTCCCCCACTCAGTTCTTTGCCTCAGAGGCCTTCGGATGGTCCAGTTTTGATTGACTGTTCATAAAATGCTGCTAAGCAGGCAGGGGTCATTTAACCCAGAGTCCCTAGACTGGAGGTATCCAACCTTGGCAGCTTTAATACTTGTGGTCTTCAACTCCCAGAAGTCCACCCCACGGGTCTTAAAGTTGCCAAGGTTGGACACTCCTGGACTCAGATGGACACAGCTGCAGCTCACACAATTATGCCAACCGGCCAGTTTCCTTCAGCTTCTCCTTCAGAGGCCCCCTACCTCCTTCAGGGATTCCCTTGCAGACCCCGGGCATTGATGACATTAACTGCAGCTGTGGATTTGCCCATGACGGTCACCTCTTCCCTCTCTCTCTCAACCCAGGTTACAAGTTCCAATTCGGCCACACCTACGGCCACCTCACCTGCAACGCCCTGGGCCAAACCACCCTGGAGAAGCAGGTGCTGGACGTCACGCAGTAGGGGAATCCGTAGCTCCCTCGCCAGCACCCTCCCTCAGCCCACCTCGCCGTCCTGGGCAGGCTGTGGGGGTGCCGGTGCCAGACGCTTCCCAGATTTCTGGGCCTCTTGAGCTGCCAGTCTTCAGATCCATGGCATTCCGAAAGACACAGAGTTCCCAGGAGCCCCATTGTCCTAGTTGGGAGAGGCAATTTCCCTGGGGTCCCCCATGGGGGGAGGGGCTGCGGCTGCTTCTGAGCCTGTTGGTAAGATGCAGAAGGGAACCTCTGGAGTCCTGGGGGCTCCACTCTACACAGCAGGTGGAAGTGCTTTTTATTTTTTATTTTTTTAATTTGATTTATATGCCTCCCTTCTCCGGAGACTCAGGGCGGCTTACAATGCGTTAAGCAATAGCCTTCATACTTTTGTATATTTATACAAAGTCAGCTTATTGCCCCCACAAACTGGGTCCTCAATTTACCTACCTTAGAAAGGATGGAAGGCTGAGTCAACCTTGAGCCTGGGGAGATTCGAACTTGCAGTAATTGCAGGCAGCTGAATGTTAATAACAGGCTATTAGTCTGCTGCGCCACCAGGCTCTTCAGTGGAGGCCAGCTGTGCCCCCTCCCCACGAGGTATCTGTACCTGCCTTCTCTTTCTTTGGGTGGCATCTGGCCCCCCCCCCCGACATTCTGTGGCACAAAGGACCTTTCACCAGCCTGGTACAGATCCTGGCAAGACCCTCTTCCCAGGGTTAATCCTTGGTGACTGCAATCCATTATAGGCGGGGCTGCCGCCCTTGATGATAGCTGGGTCCCATTGTGGCTGTTGCACTGGGGTGCCGCAGGAGGCGACGTGTCCAAGGCGGTGCCATCCATGGGCCTACCCAGGCAGCACAGCTTCCCACCCCGGGGACGGCCGGGCCTTCAGCACGGAGGGCTTGTTGGGAGGACAGAATTCAATGGCAATTCAACCATGGCTTCCCAGGCTCTAAGCCAGAATGGTGGCACAAGAAACAAGCCAACCCACCGCAAACTGCATCATCACAACCTGTGGGGTTTGCCCCCACATCTTTGGTGGCAGCTAAGAGTGCACCATCTAAGCGCCCAGGATCAGAAGCCCAGATGCCCCTCCCTGTGGGCCCATAGCCAGTTCTGTGCCAGCCGATCACTGGCACTTTTGCCATACCTCCTGCTCTGCCCAAAGAGAGCTGCCCGTGGAGAAGAACCCTTTACAGCAGGGGTCTCCAATGGTGGCAACTTGACTTCAACTCCCAGAACTCCTCAGCCAGCCGGGGTGGTGGGCACCAAGGGGGAAAATGGGGAGCTGCTCTTCAGCTGGGCTTGGTTGAGGGGTATAAAGGCCTTTTTCCCCTCAGAAATAAGCCAAATCCAGCTGGTAGATTCAGATACCCAAGCAGCCTGCTGAGTTAGATTAGGGCACATTCGATTCCAAGAGCTTGAAAAAGGAGTGAATTCAGTTGCCAAGGTGGGCCCATTAGCACACCTATCGGGCAGGGATTCTACCCTGCTGGCATTAGCTCAAGACATCCCCCCCTTCTACCGTCTGCCCCCTTTGTCCATCTGCTGGCTCATAGCCGCCCACAGCGCATTCGGGGCACATAAAGGCCAACCTGCCGCCTTTGGGCTTCTTGAATGACCCCCTCAAAAGGGCCACCAACCCAGCAAACTCCTGAATGAAGCATCAAGACAGCTCAAATTGTGTAGACGGGAGGGGGTCGGTGGGGGGACGGACAGCCAACATCTTGGCCCTGCAAAGAAGCTGGGAGGGGGGAATCACCAGACTGCCGAGGGAGCTCGTAATCAGCACCTTTTTTATTAATACGTGTCATAAATAAAGAAATAAATAAAGGCGAGACACCCTGTTCTAATGCCGGAAATATAAATTAAAGATGGTGCCACCTTCACAACACCAGCAGGACCGACTCCTGCATTCTCATCCGGGTCCTCTGAGGGTTAGGGTTAGGGTGGCGAGAGCCCCACCCAGCCCACTCCCAAATACTGACTGGAACTGCCCACTGGCTGTGGGGGGAGCCCCCTTCCTCCCCACTGGTCAGAATACAACCCAGGTTCTGACCCCTCCCACACAAAAACCTCCTCCCCATCGAGTGGCATGAGGTTCCACCGACACCACCCAAGCTGTGCCACGGGGGCCCTCTGTTGGGTGCCTTTCCGGCTTCAAAGCCTCTGCCCTCGGTAGGAGAGCTGGTCGGACACACTCTTCCCCAACTGGTCAGCTGCTCCTGCAGAGACTGGCCACAACTGGCTCCGTCTGCATGCATGCACAGAGGCCGCATTGCTCCCACTGGCGTCTCAACTCCCCCTCCCTCCCTCCCCCTGCCCAGCATTAATACAGGTTAGCACACAGTCCCCCAAGTCTGGAGCAGGCCTTCCGGGGCCCCAGTGGCCCTTAACAGGGGCCCCATTTTCATTCGGACACGGCGTGGGTGCCACAGAGAAGAGGAAGAGGAGAGGCGCATGCACAGGAACGTTTGGCCACAGGAGGCCCCGGCAGAGAGGAGGAGCCCCCCCCCCTCGCCCAGGGCAGGCAAGAGAAGCTGGCTCCTTGGCTGAGTCTTGGTGAGAGGCCTGTTGGCCGGCACAGCTCTGGGCACCACCAGGGTTTGCTTGCCCGTCAATAATCGGCATCCTCCAGGTGAGTGACGTACATGATGGGCACCAGCCCACTCTCGGCTCCCTCCCTGCGGCTGCAGCGGAGCCAGTCGGCGTCCACCCTGCTCAGCACCCGCAAGACGTCTCCCCTCTTGAAGCTCAGCTGCCCGGCCTCGGTGGCAATGTGGTGGCAGAGGGCCTTCACCGCCCTGGGGAAAGAGAGCGTGCCAAAAGGGCTGGGAACTTCCCCACCCAGCCCTGGAGATGCAGCAAACGGCCTGCACCGTCTGCCTTCCCACCTGCCTTGGTCAAGGGTCTCAGGTTTCCCCCTAAAGCTTTTACTGCATGGACATGGCTGCCCCCAACCATCTTGCTGACTGCAGGGGAGCAGCTGCGTCCTCCTCCCTCAGCCAGAATAAAATCCACCATCCGCCCCTCCCTCCACTGTTCTCAGGTTCTCACGCACCCTGTAGGGGTCTCTTCCGCCAAGGGCCAGCTGCTCAGGCAGCCCTCCCTGAAAATGCCTGCCATGCCATGCCCACCCTCTTCTGTCAGGGGACAGGCAGGACGTGGTGCCAGTCACACCAGCCAAGAGCCAGACCAGAGAGACTGGCTGCCCACCCCCCCCCACCCCTGCTTCTCGGCAGGCTCAGGAGCAGAGCACACAAGGGCCGGGCAGCCCCCTCCCTTCCACAGGTCTGCTGCCTGAAGGGAGAGGAGGCCAGCCTAGGACAGCCACACACAGCGCCTCCCTGCAATGGGGTCGATGCCAGAAGGGGGCTTGTCCAAGGTCTGGCAGCCCCAGAGCAGAGCCAGGCAGCTTGGGCCTCCCAGTAGGCCAGCTCTGGCCACAGCACACTCACCATGGGGCACCAGGGGAGGCCCTCCCGTCCGACCGCTGACCTTCGGCTATGGGCAGCTGCTTGGGTGCCATCTCAGCCTCTCGCCACACACTGGCACCCACCGTCTGGGCCATCAGCTGGAAGATGGAGCGGTCCAAGCTCAGCCAGCCGGAGGGCAACCTGCAGAGCGGGCAGCAGTCAGGCCAGGGGAGCAGTGGGCACCACACTTTTGCCTGGGAATGGCCAGGGCCCCCGGGTGAAGCCCCCCCCCAGCACATCCCCTGCCAGCTGAGATGGCAGCTGCGTCCCACCCACCCCCACCCTTAGGCTCTGCCATGAGCAGCCGGGCAGCGCAACCTCCGCTCTGGCCCATCTCAGGACACAGATGCCCACAAAGCAAACCGGGACGGCCCCAAACCGACTCTTAATCGATGTCTCCTGTAAAAATTCTCCCTTCCGGTGGGCCACAAGGACCCCACTGCCCTGCCCCGTTCACCATTTCACAAGGGGGCATAAGAAGCCAGCCCCTGCGTGCTGCAACCCTCCTATCCCCCTCCACCCCCTCCTGCTGTTAGGCAGGGAGTCTCTGCCTGGAAGTCGGCCGTTCTCAGCTTATCCCACTTGGGGGTCCAGTCCAGGCCGTCCCACCCCCCTCCCAAAGCAATGCCGCCAAGGCAGAGCCCGACTGCCAGGGACACTACCTGTGGGCTTGTTTGGGCTCCTTGGGCGCCTGGCGGGAACCGAAGAGGTGCGCCCACTTGGGCTGGCCGCTGCTGGGGACGCGGGTGACGGGCTGCTCCTTTCCCTGGGCTGTCGCCTGGTCCTGCTCCCTGCTGCGCTTCAGCTCCGCCAGCACGGCATCTGGGGGACTGCCCATCCAGGAGGGCCGGCCCTTCTCCTTGCTTTCCTCCCCAGCTGGAGGGCCCAGCTTCCAGGGGGGCTTGGCCTCCTCGGCCGGGAGCCTCTCTCTGACTGGGGGGGCTTCTGTGGGGGGACAAGCCTCTGCGCCCTCCACCACCCCTTCCCTTGGGGGAGGGCCCTTCCCGGCCTCTGCCGACCTGGCCCCCGCCCTCTTCTTGCGCTCGTGGTGGGCGAGGCGGGCACCTTCCGGGGAGCCCTGAATGTAGACCTGGGAGCTCTGGGTGAGCTGCAGCCACCAGCTGGCCTGCCTGTCCTTCTTCAACTCTGGGGCCCCTTTGGTGGGCTCCGCTGGTCTCTCCAGAGGTGCCGGGCCCCGGGAGCCCTCGCCATGAGTGCGCATGAGCTGCAAGGTGGAGTGGGCGGAGAGCAGCAGGCCCTGCTGACCCCGCAGGAGCTCCTTCTGCTGCTGCTGCCACCTGCCCACCTGCAGCAGGTGGTGCTCGAAGAGCAGGTCCAGGCCAAAGGGCAGAAGGGAGAGTGGCTGGAGCAGCAGCAGCAGCTCCTCGAAGAGGCCCTGGCAGGCCCCGTGCGCCAGCGGCAGGAAGCCCGTCGGCTGGTAGTGCGCCTGCAGCACATCTAGTGGGGGATAGAAGGCCACGGTCACCAGGGGCCCCCAGGCAGCAGCTCTGGGCCCCAGCCGGGCCGGCCAAAGGAGGCTCTGGGCTGCTCAGCTCCATCTACCAAACCCCCCTTGACCTTCCTGCCTTCTTTCAGAAGCTCAGGAAGGGCCACGTTGCCTAGTGGCATGGCAGGGGTCTGTATGTCATGAGCGGACGAGCCTCCTGAGGGCAGGGCCACTGCCTGGGCGACATCCCTGACCCATCCCCAGCACACGGCCCACCCCCAATCCGGTCAGGAGCAAAGGACCTACCCTCGTGGTTGTAGAGGTGGTTGAACCAGAACTCCAGGGACCGGATGCTGTTGAGGGAGAAAGCAGAGAGCGGGTGAGAACGGGCAGGACCCTCCGGACAGGCATGAAGAACCATTTGGGGACACAAGCCAGGCCCTGCTGGCCACATGGTGCAATGGTAAAGCTGCTGGCCTAGGAGATGGTGAGTTCTAGCC